ATGCAGAAAAAAAGAATAAGATAATGAATACTCATACCATCAGAATCAGCCACCATGTAAGAATGTATAATTGTTTCTGCTCATTTTTTTCTCCTTGAAATAAAATCTTACAGATAAAATTTGACAGATAAAATTTGACAGATAAAAGTGAATCCCCCAGGCTCCATGTTCAATTTGGTGCTTTCCTTTCCCTCTATAATTCTCTGATGAACATTTCCCAAGGTGCTTTTTAAAAATTAAGAAATAAGTATTGTGGTGTTGGGGATGGAACCCAGGGCCTGGCCTTTGCTAGGTTAGGCCTCAGCCCCTGGGCCTCACCCCAGCCCACTTCCTGAGGTGATTTTCTCTCCAGTCTCCCACACCCTCCATGAGGAAGGCCAGGTGGGAGGGTGGCAGACGAGGACACTGAGTCCCAAGGGCACATCGTTGCTGGCCTCTGGTTCTCTGCCTCTGGACAGTGCCCCCCAAGCCGGGGGCCCTCACCGTGTCCGGGGAGAAGAACGCTGCTTCTGGTGACAGGAAGTCCGGCTCAGATGGTCTCTACGCCTCAGGTAGATGGATGGTTGGGGTGAGAGCCCTGGCCAGAGGCAGGAGCCTGCCAGAAAGACAGGGGACCCGGTGGAGTGACATGGCAAGGCCCTGGCTGGGTGCCACATCGTCTTCTTCCTTTTTTCTTACATACTTTGTCTCCTTTTTTAGAGCTGGATTAGGTTCACAGCAGAGTGGAGTGGAGAGCGCAGAGACTTTCTGTGTCCCCTGCTGCCCTCCCTGACAGCCTCCCTCACTGTCACCTTCCCACCAGAGCAGTGTCTGTTTTAATCCATGAGCGTACATGGACACACCACCGTACCTCAGAGGCCAGAGGCTACATGACACCTCACTCTTTGTGCTCCGTGGGTTGGTGGAGATACACAAAGACACAGGGATCCACCATTGTGGGATCAGTGTGTTGGTCCCCTTTCTGTTACTCTGACAAAGCCCTCCAATAATCAACTAAATAAGAGGAAAGGCTCATTTTAGCTCATGGATCTGGAGGTTCCAGTCCATGGTTGGTTGGCCCTGTCGCTGTTGGGCCTGTGGTGACACAGTCCGTTGTGGCATGAGCACGTGGCACAGGACACTGTTCACCTCGTGGTGTTAAGTGAAAAGAGGTAAGAGGAGAGCTCGAGTCTCCTCAAGGCTGCACCCCAGTGACCTAACTTCCTCGCACCAGCTTCCCTTATCCTAAACGTCCCACCACCTCCTAGTAGTGTCACAGGCTGGGCACCAAGCCTTCAACACACGGCCTGGGGCCATTCAGCATCCAGACTGTAGCACTCACATTAGCTGGTGTCACTGACTTAAACCCCTGTGCTCCCCATGTTTATGCCTCCCCTTATTTTAATTTTAATTTTTGGAGTACTGTTAGACTTACAGGAACACTGCAGGGACAATAGCAAGAGTCCCTGTGCACCTCCACGTGGCTGCTGCTTCCCTGGATGTTAATGATGATCAGGAACATTTGTCAAAGTGTGAAGCTAACAGTTCCTGATACCAACGAAGCCCTGGACTACTGGACTTTTGCTGGTTTTTCTGCCATGGTCTCTTTCCATTCTCTGCTCCAAACCAGGATCTCACTTGGTATTTATTTTTGTCCCTCTGATCAGTGTGAGTTTTCTTGTTTGTTCTCACACTCAGTCGGGTGTGTAGATGTGTGTGTGACGTGGAAAATATCTTAGGCCTCCAGAACTGTTACGGTGAAGCAAGAGCCCATTTCTGGCTTGGTGTGAGCCGCTTCTCTCGGTTACCTGCTTTGCTCTCTTCCCTTAGTCTCGAAAGGCTGTTTTCTCAGAAGACCTCGGCAGGGCCACTGCACACACATTTCCTCAAGGGTTTCACTTTCTTTCCTGAACTGGCACAGGGTTTGTTCTCAGGCTAGATGGTTGCTGCTTCTCCAGGCTTCCAGCCAGCAGCTCAGTGCATACCTGGGCTGTCTGCGTCACCAGGGTCCCAGGTGTGTTTGTGGGTGCTGCCTTGAGACTGGGGATGTCTGCTGGGGTGTGCTACACACCAAAGCTTTTCTTTGTTTTTGTTTTTGGTCTTGGGGTTTGAACCCAGGGATGCTCTAACCACTGAGTTACATCCCAGCCCCCCCCCCCGCCATTTATTTTGCAATACTAGGAATTGAACCCAGGGCCTTTGCATTTCACTACCCCCTCCCTTTTGAGACAGGGTCTTGCCTAAGATGGACTCAAGCTTGCGATGGATTACAGGCCTGTGCCACCATGCCTGGCTTTATTTATTTATTTTATTTATTTTGAGATAGGGTCTTGCTAAATTGTCCAGGTGGGACTGGAACTTGTGATCCTTCTGCCTCAGCCTCCTTCAGTGCTAGGATTACTGGTGTGCACCACCATCACACCATTGCTTTTTAGCGCCAGGCAGTTTTGACAGGTTTCCTCCTGAGTAATCCAGAATGTCCGTGCAGTGGCGAGTTTAAGTGCAGGTTGGGTGATGATGCAGACTCCAGAGTGCCATTGTGCTGGGTTGGCCCCCGAGGGACGTGTACCGGCCCCTCTGCTCAGTGAGTGCCGTCCCTGGGCCCTGCATCACACACTTGCATCCTTAGGGCTCAGCAGGCCTGGCTGCTTCCCTTAGGGGCTTTCCTCATTGGTCCCCTGGCCTGCACCCCAGATCTCAGTGGTATTTGCTGAGGCTGCCAGGCACGTGTGCACAGAGGGGAGTAACAGCAGATGTTCATTGGACTCTCTCTGTGGCAGGTCTGATGGACTCGACACTTGCCCTCATGTGCCCGCGACCCAGCACTATTGTTATACCGTGTATGTTCAGTGCTGTTGTGGTTTAGACCTACAGTATCCCCTAAGGCTCCTGTGTGCAGAGGTGGGGCCTGCTCAGAAGAGGTGCAGCACTGAGGTGTGACCTGGAAGGGTGTCTTCTCGTCCCAGTATTCCAGACAGCTAAGTTAGTTAGAAATTATTAGAAGGCAGTTGGACAAAGCTGGGCCCTCAGCATAGAAAACAGTTGAGGCACATTATATGAGGGGAAAAAGTCCTACACTCATACACTTCCCCTAGGGATAAATAGCAGTGATTAATTCTAAATAGGCATCAATCTGCCTAGCCCATTTTCTTTCTGGAAATTCCTTGTTCATTCTATGTACGCATGCTACGTGACTTGTTTCCCCATTTGATCCCCACTTAATCAGTATTACCTGGGTGACTGTACTTGCAATCTTATTGGTTGGTCATGGTTTTGTCCCACCTCAGGCCCACCCTGTAATTTTCCATTGGGTCTTATAGTTTTGTCCCACTTTGCACGCACCTCACCCCATGGCTTTGCCCTATAAAACACCTTTGAGAAGTGGAGTGGGTGGACAACCCACTTTCCGGTCCCCCTTCTGTCTCTCTTAGACAGAAGCTATCTTGCAATAAATTCTTCCTACTCTTAACCTCCGTTGTTCCTAGAATTCATTCTTTGATTTTAGAGAACATAAACCCGCGTTTTGGATGTCTAGCAGTGTGGGAGTTATAATATTTCATTTGTTTGGATTACTTGGTGCTCTGTATCACCAGGCTCCTCCCCTCTTGCTCTGTTCCATGGCTACCATGCTGTGAGCAGCTTTGCTCTGCCAGGCCCTTCCCAGTGCTATTTCTACCTCGGAGCCAGCCAGTTATGGCCTGTGCCCACTGAAACTGTGCCTCAAAATAAATTTCTCCTCCTTTAAGTTGCAAGTGTTGGGTATTTTGTCCCAGTGATAGGAAAGTAGCTAATAAAAATCACTGTTTTATAGCTGGGACAAAATCCATGACATACACCAACAGAGGAGGAAATGATTACAGAGACTCACGGTTACAGAGGTTTCAGTCCATGGGAAACTGGATTCAAGGTGGAAACTGGATCATGGCAGAAGGGCCTGGCAGAGGAGAGTTGCTCTCCTTATGGCAGCCAGGAAGCAAAGCACAGGGGGAAGAACCTGAGAAGAAGGGGCCAGGGACTGCAGTCCCCAAGGTCATACCCCCATGACCCACCCAGGCACTCCCAAGAGTGTGCTTCACCAGTCCTCTCGGCATCTCTCAAGGCAATCAAGTCAACAGTGAAGATTAACATCACAGTGAGAACCCAGGCAGTGACTGCTGTCGGTTCACTTGTTCTCCATCCTGTGGGAAACCTTCTCATACCACCCTGCTTCATTTACTGATGTGTTCGTCTGCCTTTCCCCTTACTGGGCCATGATGTCAGCTCCATCTGCGCAGGACTTTGTAATAGTTGTTATCATTAGAGTTACTGATCTCCAGGACCCATAGAAGCTATGTGGGGAAGGAGGATGATATCAGGGTGCATGCTGTGCCCCTACCCTGGGCTACAGGTCAGCCAAGATACCTGGCGTTCCCTCCTGACCCTACCAGTCACCTTACAGGACACCGCAAGAGGCTTTCCTGCTGACAGAGAAGCACAGAAGTCCCCTTAGCCACTGTGACACCTTCCCTGGTTTCAGTTACCTATGGGCTACTGCAGTCTGAAAATGTTAAATGGAGAATTCCAGAAATAAAGAATTCAACTTGTAATCTTAAATAGCTTCTATTATGGTATATTGTTACGCTTGTTCTATTTTATGTTATGGTTAATCTCTTCCTAATTTACAAGTTAAACTTTGACAGGTATTATGAATGTGTCCCCTGCAGATGGGGGGCTGCTGTCCCTCTCTGTAGAGCAGTCGTGGACAGGGACTGTCGGTTGAATATCCTCTTCTAGCTGCTTCTCTCCTGCTCAGTTTGCCCTGTGTAGTGGCCCACTTCCTCAGGGGGCAGGTGTCTTGTTGGAGGAGCCCCCAGCTGGGTCCCCTGTCTCCTCTGGGAGTGTTTGAAGCTGGCGTGTGACCTCTGTGCTGTGTTTGAATCCAGGACAGAGCCCCACATGGAGAGCTGCGGCTCTGGCTTCTGGCCCAGCCAGTGTGCCTTGCAGCGTAGCTCCAGAGAGTGAATTCTCATCTCTCACCGCAGGTCATCCACCCGGCCGGAAGTGGCCAGCATAGAGCCCCTGGGCCCCGACGAACGCCAGTGCTCCCAGAAAGCCATAGTGCAGGCCCGGCTCACACAGCCCACCCGGCTCACCAGCATCATCTTCGCCGAGGACATCAGTAAGGGCTTTGAGTGGTGCTGCGGGTGGTCCGTGGGTGGGGTTGAGGGACAGGGAAATTTGCCATTGAGACCACTGGTCACCAGGGCTGCTGTAGCCCAAGCAGTGCCCCTCCCACCCCTCACACCTACGCATGGCTTCCTAGACTCCTAAAGGAGGGCCGGGGATTTAGCTCAGTGGCACTGCTCCTGCCTCACAAGCACAAGGTCCTGAGTTCAATCCCAAGTACCAAAAACAAAAACAAAAAATTCCTAAAGGAGTTTTGATTGACTGGTATCAAGGTGAATAAAATTGCCCCCATTTAGGGTGCTACTTGTCCTTCCCCACATTTACTGTATTATGGTTGTAAAATACAGTTGTCCCTCGGTATCCAGGCAAGATTGGTGACAGGACCCCCCTCCCATACCATGATATGCAGATGCTCAGGTCACTTACCTAAAAAGCCACAATGCTGGTGTACAATCTACGCACACCCTCCTGAATATTTTAAAACATCTCTAGGGTACATAAAACACCTAATACAATGTAAATGCTCCAGAAAAGTATACTGTATTGTTAGGGAATAAGGAAGAGAAAAAAATCTTTACATGTTCCACCCTGTTGGAATTTTTTTTCTGAATATTTCCCATCTGTGTTTGGTTGGATCTGAGAGTCTGGAATGCAAGAATACAGAGACCCAACTGTACTTACAAAACAATGTAATGTTCTCTTATGTTTTTCCCCACCTACCATGATACGCTTTACATTTTACTATGGAATTCTTGTTATTGTTGTCCTTTGGCACTGGGGATTAAACCAGGGTCTTGAACATGCTAAGGAAGGGCTCTCCCACTGAGGAGCACCCTGCCCCTGTTATAGAACTATGCGTAATGCTGAATTGTGTTTCTAACAGGAGATTGTCCTATAAGCATTCCATTATACTGGGCATTTAGAAGGTTTTCATATGTTCATTTCAGGGTTATGTGCAGAAACAAATCTTTTTAATACAGAGAGCAATTTGGAGTTCTTTTGTTCATTTCCTCTCTAGGGCAGTGTCCCTGTTTTCCTGGGTCATGGTATATGAAACTATTTTTTTGAGATGGGGCCTGACTACATTGCCTACCCTGGCCTCCAACTCCTGGGCATGAAGAACCCTCCTGCTTTAGCCTTCTGAGTAGATAGAACTACAGGTGCACATCCCTGAGTATGTGCATGGTTTTTGACACACAAGGTCATGTTGGTTACCAGTGAAATATTACTGGTGCACAAGTATTTTCATGTGCTGCCTGGAGAATGAGCAGAATAGTTTGGCATCACATGCTACTGCCCTACACTTAAAGGATCCCCTCAGTGATGCCACTTATGTGTCTTACTTACGGAGCAAGTGGGTGCATTCATGCGCCCCTTCTGAGTGTGGTTGGCAAAAGCATCAATAAACAAGAAGCCTGCAAAGGTCAGTGCAGTCTCTGATCGCAGTGCAGACACAGGGCTTCCAAAGAGGATTATCTCCTGGATCTTCAGTCCTCATACTCATGTAACTTCCTAGTTACACTAAACAAATCTACGTCCAAGCTGTAATCGTCTCTGGTGGGCAGTGGAAATGTCCCAAGCCCTTCTGCCCTGTGGCTCAGGTAGATATCTCCAAGGGCCGTGTGCTGGGCTGGTACCTGGCATCCGAGGGTGAATTCAGCTCTCCAAGCCCTGCGGTAGTGTTGTTTTGTTGGCTGCTCTAGTCTCCGCGAGAGACAAGGCCACCTGGGATTGGAGACCCCCGAGGTCTGCAGTGCTGACCCCTCTCCCTGTCCCTGCAGCCACGGGCCAGGTGCTACGCTGCGATGCCATTGTTGACCTTATCCATGGCATTCAGATTGTGTCCACCACCCGAGAGCTCTACCTTGAAGATTCCCCACTGGAGCTGAAGATCCAGGCCCTGGACTCAGAAGGTGAGCGCGTACGTCCCCTGCCCCACCATGACTGTGGCCTCTCTCAGTCACTGTGTCCTCTCACATCCAGCCAGGAAGGAAGTTGGTCCTGGGGGCGAAGCTAGAGAGATAAGAAACACCTCCAAGATGGGACTTGTGCTCTTGAAGCATCAGGCCAGGACCATTCCTCGTGCTCTGTGTCCTCGAAGCCCGGCCTGTGCGCGCGGGGGGTTTAGTCGACCCTGGGGCAGACTTGGTGCCCTGACAGCAGTGGTCCTTGGTAAAGCTGGCTCAGGAAGCCCGTATTCTGGGCAGTGGTGGGATGTGGGTGTGGCCAGCTGGTGACTGCTCTGTGACAGTGGGAGCTGTGCTCCTGCTCCGCTATCCTTCCCTCCACTCACCAGCGTCAGATGGCACCTTGTTCTATCTAGGCTGTGATTCTCCTAGGCAGCCTCCTCTGGTGGTTGGCAGACTGTGTGGGCTGCAGCCTGACCTCTCGGTAAGGGAGGCAAGGGAGCATGCCAGCTTTCTGTTGCTGTGACAACTTGCAGGAAGAAGGATTGATTTTGGCTCGCGGTTCCCAAGGTGTCAGTGCCTGGTTGGTTGGCTTTGTTACATGCAGGCAGAAGATGAGGATAACATCACAGCAAGAGCCATGGTGGCGGGAAAGTAGGGCACGGGAGGAAGGGTCCGGGTCCCCTTGGAGGACACCCCGCCTGGCAGCACACCTTCTTTCCATTGGGCGCCATCTCTTAGAGCTCTGCCACCTCCCAGTAGCACCACGGACTGTTGGTGAAGCCTTTGGGGGACACTTCCACAAACCCTAACAGGGCACTGCACTGGGTAGGTAGAGATTCTTATGGCAGGAAGTAGAAGTCAGGGAAGAGGTATCTCTCCGAAGATGCTCTTCCCAGACTCCAAGCCCCGATGGAAGGTCGCCTTGTCTTCAGAACCTTTCCTGACTGCTCTGCCTACTGTGTTCTTTTTCTTACATTCTTGTTTATTTTCTAGATAGAGGTTTCTTGGCCTAGGTGGGGGAGAGTGTCCTCTGAGAGGTAGCTGCCCAGTGCACGATAGGATGTTTGACAGCATACTAGGCACTGCCTACTAAGTGCTGGAGGGATTCCCCAAGTCAGGACAGTCAAGAGTGTCCCTACAGACAGAACGTTTTGAAAGGGAGAGGGCTGTCCAAGAACTTCGCTGCCAGAATTACTCAAGTAATGCTTACCATTTGAGTTCAGTGAAGCCAAATACAAAATGTCATTCACCAGAATGTACTCACCATCGATCTCCTGACCAAGGCCTAGATCGATCCCTAGAAGAGAATCTTTGCTATAGAAATTTCTGACATGCAGAAAGATTCTTCCCATCCTTGGAAAGGTCAAAGTTAGAGATGGATTTTTTTTTTTTTTTGCTATATGATTGCATTTATCTTTTGAATGCTTGATGATGTTAAATGTATTTATTAATGTTTTGCCTCTGAATCTCTGTTCTTATGTGCCATATCTCAGTGATCAGAGATGACTTATACAAACAAAAGTGCATGTGGCTGTCTCTGTCCATACAGTAATAGTGAGTGCAAAATCTGCTCACTTTATTAGATGCTGTTTTGTCACCTATCCAGAGGAAATAAAGAAGCTTAAAAAAGAAGGAAAAGTGTTTTTACAAAACTGATTTCCTTTCGATCCTTGGTATCTCAAATAATTAGTTGGTTAAATATTTTTCCCTTTCATTTATGTTGTCACGGCTGGAGAAATTATGCCCAAACAGCACAATTTACCAGTAGTAGCCTAGGACCTGACATCGCACTTTGGAACCAACCTGACATAAGTTCCATGCCATAATCTGACTTCAAAGCAGCAGAAAATAGTGTGTTTGGATTTTAAATCCATACTATTATATCACTCAAAGACTGACATGCATTTTCTACAATTGTGTTTACTCCTACTAGTTTTAGAAAGGTAGGTGATGATATATGTCAAGAATGTAAGATTTTTAAAAATTTGTATTTTAATAAGTTTTCTTTGCAACATTAAAATACTGCAGTCAACCTAAAAAAAACAAAACAAAAAGAATGTCCCTACATGTGCCCATATTCCCGGCCAAAGGGAGGACAAATGACTGATTTTGAGCCTTTGCCAGAACTTTCCTTCCTTCCTCCATGGACTCATTTGTCAGACGAGCTCCTTAGCCTTTCTGACAGTTTCCTCATCTGGAAGACAGATTGGGATGCTTGACACGGTGACCACAAGGATGTGGTGAGAAATCTGCAGCTGGCGTAGCACTGTGTGCGTGCTCAGTGACAAGGGCTGTCTACAAGTGGGTATTGTCCGGGTACCATGGACACTATGGAGCACAGAAGGGCATAGCCTCTGCCCCGAGGACCTCAGACTGGGGGAGACTATGTATAATCAAACTCATATTCATATGTATGGGTTATCTCTCATCTGAAAATCAGGATCTAAATTGAACCACAATCTAAAGCTCTGTGTGTGTGTGTGTGTGTGTGTGTGTGTGTGTGTGTGTGTGTGTGTACTTTCCTAGGGTGGAACTGGAGGACTGCACATGCTAGGCAAGGACTGTACCACTGAGCTCCATCCTCAGCCCCTTTGAAAATTTATTATAAGATGCAGACTCACTACGTTGCCCAGGCTGCCCTCAAACTTCTGATCCTCTTGCCTCAGCCTCCCAAGCAGCTAGGATTACAGATGTGCGCCACCGTGCCTGGCTTATTCCAAACTTCTTAAAGTACGCAAAAGCTCTGTGCAAAGATCCCCAGATTGGAAAGACTCCAAAATCAGAAACATGTGGTTCCGACAGTTGTGGAGGCTGTGCACAGTCAGAGTGCGGAGACGAGAGTTGGGTGGAGCCCACCTCAGGGAAGGCCGGTGCAGGTGTGGAGGACAGGGGTCGGGACACGTGTGCCTGAAGACATGTGCTGTAGGCGAGCCTGGAGGACTGTGGGTGGCCAGGCGGGGTGGTGGTGGAGAGGGCAGGAGGCAGGACAGCAAGTGTCCTCGGGGTCAGCTGGCAGCTCACCCTCAGTGCGAAGCAGCGTGCAGTGCAGTGAGGAGACAGAAGCTGCTTGGCGGGATCGGGGGCGGGGGGGTGGTCACTGGCTGTTCTTGGAAACAGAAAGACCAAAGTCCGAGTCCACTCTCGTGGCAGTCGTTCTTCGGGGTACTTTATGTGTCCCGTCACAGTCCATTCCCTGCGGTGGAAAGCTGAAGGCACAGAGTGAAGTCACACACTTGTACGGCCCTGTGTGTGTAAGTGCACCCACACAGAAAAGGTGTGTGGTTAATATGTAGCAGAGCTCCAGACTGGCCCAGACTTCATTCACCCTTTTGGCCAGAAGTCACCCAGTTTTTCTTGTAAGAGGCTGGAGAGTGAATATCACCCTGTTTTGCGGGTCGTACTCTCTCTGTTGCCTGTGTTCAGCTCTGCCATTGCAGTTCCAGAGTCTGGGCAATGTGTCAGTGAACAGATCTGTTCTTGTTCTAATAAAACTTTATTTATGAAAGCAGGCAGTGGGCCAGAGTTGGCTCCAGGGACCACAGTCTACCAGTTGCTGCTCTTGACCGCTCTGCCCCATTTCCAAACTTAAGTCACTTAAAAGAATTATTTTGTTGAGATTTATACACCATGAAATTCAACCATTTAGAGTGTACAATTCAGTGGCTTTTGGTGCACCCACAAAGTTGTGCAATCATCACCGTCACATTTTAGAACTTTCTTATCACTACAAAAAGTAACCCAAATAACAGTCACTCTCATTCTCACCCCTTTCCAGCCCCTGCAGCTGTGTCCTGCTTCTGGCCTCTTTCCATTTCCCTATTCTGGACCTTCCATATAAGGCACATACAATGCAAGCAGCCCTACTTTTGCAGTCTTTTGTGACTGGCTTCCTTCTCTGTGCCTGTTGTAACCTGTTGGTGCCACATTCCTTTCTATTGCAAAACAATATTCTGTAGTGTGGATGGACTGTAGGTTGTTTTTCCATTGATAGTTGGTGGACCTCTGGTGCTTTTCACTTGTGGACCAGGTCAGTTTGTGTACGAGTCTCTGTGTGGGCCTGTTTTCAGCCTTGGGTCGACGCCTATGAGTGGGTCTGCTGGGCCACATGAGAACTCTGTGCTGAACTGAGGACTGCCCCCCTTTTTGCAGAGTGGCTGCACCGTGTCACCTTGCCCCCAGCTGTCCATGAAGGTGCCAGTTTCTTCAGGTCCTTGCTAATACTGTTATTGCCCCTCCTTCTTGAGTCTAGTGGATTGTAAGCCACTTTCTCCCCAGGGTGTTGGAGCTGTCAGAGCAGAAAGGTGGCTGACCTTGGCCTATGAGGGCCACGAAGTGTTCAGATCACAGCCCATGAATGTCTCACCAGGGGCTGGGGCTGGGGATGTCAGGTTCCATCTCCACTCAGCATGGTGCCTGCCTTCTACTGCTGGGCTTTTCCTGGGCATTGGTGCCCTGCGCCACAGTGCCACTGCAAGCCCTTGCCTCCTGTGCACAAGGCCCTGGGATCACCCCCAGCAGAGTAAGGGAAGAGCAAAGGTGATGTGGTCTTTGAGGGGGTGCGTACAGTTCTTACTGGGCTGGATGACTTACCTGACATGAAGGCCATTGCTTGTGTTTTGTCTCTTCTGCACGTACTGAGGCACAGGTGCCTGCACACACTGTCTGCCTTCTCCTTTTGCTCCACTGCTTCGTTAAAACACAAACCAACAGACACCAAGCCCGTGCCAGATGTGTTAGCCCCATGTTGGGCTTCCAGCCTCCACATCTGTAAGCTTAATGAACCTATTTCCTTTATAAACTACCCAGTGTGATAGCCGTCCCTTACTGTGACAAAATATGTAAGAGAGTGAACTTAAGGAGGAAAGGTTTACTGGGGCTCACAGTTTCAGAGGTGTCCGTCCATGGCTGCTTGGCTGCTGCTTTGGGCTCAGCATGTCATGGCGGCGGCAGTGCATGGCGGAGGAGGCCAGTTCACCTCATGGAGCCTGGATGGCAAAGAGAGAAAGATGAGGGTCTGGGGTCCGAGTGTTCTCCTTAAGGGACGCCCCTATGGGCTTCATTTCCTTCTACCAGGCCACCTTCTGCACTACTGTCTCCCACCAGTGCCACAGGCTGCCAACTGGGTCTTCAGCGCATGGCCTTTGGGGCATTCAGGACCCAAAGTGTAAGACGCAGGCTCAGGTGTTCTGTTAACAGCAGCAACTCTCAGACCCTCTGGCCTTTAGGCTGAGGCTGTTTGCAGAGTGACTGCCTTGAGTCCGTGTTTCCAGGATTCTTTCCCAGCCAGCCCTCATGCCCATTTGGTACTGTAGAACTGGACCAGTGCAGGGTCACCAAGTTGAGAATCGAGGTCAGTTCATTTTTCTGGACGCTTCTCTGCCTGACATTGGACTTTGGGTCCAGCAGGCGTCCGATAAATGTTTGTCTGGTCAGGTTGCTTAACATTCTTTGTGGTGCTCCTGGGACCAGGGCAGAGGCGTCCCCTGGAGCCTGGTTCCCGGGGTCCCCTGGTTAACACTGCACTCAGCTGTGAGACTGCAAGATCAAAGGTGCTGTCTGTTTCATGCACTCGGTGCTCCTGGCTGCAGTTCAAGTGGAGAGAAACCTGTGGGCAGAGTTCTCTTGGCACTGTTTTGCCACCTCCCTCTCCCTCCAAATCTGCAGAGTCCCCACAGAACACGTCAGTCTCGGGCCTGCTTTGTGGAGTGGGGACTTCCTCACTACCCGCCTTTCCTGGAGGTCAGAGGATCACAGTGACTGCGCTGTGGTCTCTCCTGGTTTGATTTTGCCAACTAGAAGTCATTCTCCCCGCACTGCCACAGGGCCAAAGGCTCAGAAGGGGCCAGGCTAGGTTCAGTGCTCAGCCGGTGCTGTCTTGACATTTTTAATGCGTTTTCTTTCGACTGCTTTCTGAGTGGAGTCCAGTGGGACGGGAAGCCTATGTTGGGGACATGGAGCCACAGTAACTACAGGCCTGCTTCCCGGCCCCCTCCCTGCCTCCTGGGATGGGCTCTCAGCCACCTGTCTCCTGGCATCCTGTCCCGGCCCTGCCTGGCCTCCCTTCCCCTTTCCTTCCTCTTGACCCTTTCTACCCTCGGACCCTGGAGGACCGGACCGTGGGGTGTGTCTACCTCAGGGTGAGTTGGATGGGGCAGGTCGTGGTGTGGCGGTCCCTGCCCTGGCCCCTGCCTGCTGCTTCACCGACAGGGTGACCTTCATCCCACCCAGCCCCCAAGGCACCCTCCCTGGCCCAGTGCACAGGTTTAAGAGTGCTTAGGGTCTGCTCTCTACAGCAGGCCACAAGAAGGGGAGAAGCCTGACTCAGCTTCCCCAGAGCCCATCCCAGCTGGGCTCTCTGGTGCATTGGCTGCCAGGAAGGGAACACAGTAGCCAGCAGTGGCTGGCTGCGTGTGCTGGTTGCAGATAGGTCTTCTGGGTGCCTCTGAGCGTCTGTCCTCACCCTGGATGACCCCAGTGCTCCCTCTGCTGGCTCCCTGCCTGGGAGTTTCCTGGACCCCTCCAGGCCTTCTGGCATTTTCATTGCGATGGCCTGGCAAGTGCAGCTGTGTGAGTCAGTGCATCTCAGAGAAGCTCGAGGACCCTTCCTGCCCTTGGAAGTGTTCCCCCTTCCTCCCCTTCCAGCTGTGAGCATGGTGGGCTTGCAGGGGAGACCGGGAGCAAAGATGCTAAAGCAGAGCTCCAGGAACAGTGCAGCTGCTGCAATGCTCAGATGTGTGACTTCCCCCCAGGCTGCAAGCCTCTGCAGGGCCTCTGCTGCCTCCACCTCCTGTCTTTGACAGGGCTGTAGTGACTGTGCCAGGCGCCTCACTGCGGGTGCTTCCTCCTCCTGACCCAGCAAACCCGCAGCTTGGTATTTTTGTTCCTGCTTTATGGAAGACACCAGTGGGTGGAAACCCCCAGGGCAGGTGTGCAAAGCCTCGGGTGGACAGGAATGAAAGGGGTGAAGGGAGCATGGCGCCCCCATCGCTGGCACACAGTACTTGACACCTGCAGGTGAAAGGAGGAGAGGCTCATCTTGGCTCACCTTGGGTAGAGGTTTGGTCCATGCTCAGCTGGCCCCAGGCCAGGGTGGCATGGCAGAAAGGTGGAGGAGTCACCCAGGCCTGGCAGTGGGAAGCAGAGAGAGAAGGGCGGTGGAGGGAGACACAGCCCTCCAGGTCACGCCCCAGTGAGCTGGCTTCACCTCCCATCCTGTTTCGCTGTAAACTCAGCAGTGGACCAATCCCCTGACGAGTGTCACGTACCCCTGATCAGGTCATCTCCCAAGGCCCCACTTATGAGCCACGAGGCTTTGGGGGACATCAAGAAAAACTGTAACAGCTGCCTCCAGGGCTTTCATACTGAATTCCTCATGACCATTTCCCAAACTGTTTCAGTCATGGGGGAATCCATCCTTGTCCTAATGATTGGGCTACAAGGTCAGCATGCTTGGCTCTGCCCGAGGGTGGGCCTTAGGCCAGCTGTGCTTTATGGGCAACTGTTTCAGCTCACTGGCCAGAAGAAGGTTCTCCTGGTCAGAGGTTGGGGCAGAGGGAGGGGCTGGCCTGGAGGTGGTGAGTTCCTTGTCCCTGGGGTATGGAAGGAAGGTCTCGCCCTAGTGATGGGAAGCTGCCTCCAAGGGTGACAGGATTCCTGAGTTGGTATGGGTTTTGTTTCTGCCTTCCTTGCCTCTGGATGTTAAGACAAATGGCCTCAGTCAGAATGTTTTAAGGTCTGAGGAACTGCAGGCTTTTTCATTGGTTCAAAATCCTCCATCGGACCTCTAAGAAAAATAGTCTCTCTGAATCCAGATGAGGTTTGTCCTCGCTGACCAGTTGCCCACATTGGTGGGAGGACATCTAAGGGACCGTGGGCAGAGGCCCTTCCTAAACAAGCCCTGATGAGTAAGGGCAAACACAGCACTGTTTTCTGGAGCTTCCACTAGGGATGGTTTAATTTGACCTTCTAGGGCCTGGGTGGACACAGGTAAGATCCTAGGTCTGTCCCACTCTAAAGAGCGTGTGCTTCATACTACAGAAAGAGCCTTTCGAGGTCCCGAGTTGTGTCTGTTTCTGGGCTGGCCTGTCAGGAAATGTGGGCGGGGGCCATGGAACAGGATGGGTGACAGAGCGTGGTCCCCTGTGGAGAGCTGCGGCCCGAGTTTGGGCTTTGCAGGCCATCGTGGGAGTTGGGTTTGCATGTGGCATCGCCTAGGTGGAGTGATAGCTCAGAAGGCTAACAGGCATGAGCCAGGCCTTCAGAGCTCAGGCTGGCCGGGCCTGGCTCTGTCCCCCGCCCCTGGGACCCCACGAGTGTCCCAGTTGAGGTAAAGAGACAAGAACAGCAGACGCTCAGGGCACCGCCCCTCCTGTGCTCACTCACAGGCGGGAGCGCGATGGTCTTATGTCTACACTAAGCCTGTCAGGAGCAGCCAGAGGCTGGGAGGTACAGCAGGAAGAACAGGGGCTGTCACCAGGGCTGGCCTGGGTTCAAATCCCGGCCCAGCCCGTCCTGGTCACATGCCTGTGAGCAAGTGGCATCTTTCCGTCCAGCCTTGGTTTCCCCTTCCTGAGATGGCGCTGGGCATGGTTCCTGGTTCCTGCATGTAACCGAGTGTGCTTTCTCTGTCTCCTTCCCTGGCCTGGGAACTGACTCTGCTGCATTTCTCCTGCTCCATCTGCTCTTTCAGGGAACACCTTCAGCACCCTGGCGGGACTGGTCTTTGACTGGACGATTGAGAAGGACACGCAGGCGGACGGGTTCTCAGACTCCCACAGTGCCCTGCGGTAAGAGGCACCTTGGTGAGGTCTGGCTGGCTTGGGGGGACCTGGGATGGGGGACATCACGGGCCTTCATGGGCCCGGGCCCTTGCAGCACTGTCAGAGAGGAGCCCGGGACACTTCCCAGAAGCCTGCAACATTGCCGGTGACTGCAAGGAAAGGATTTCCCCTCCCCCAGGTGTGTGGGCACCTGGCTGTTGCAGGTGTGTTCTGTGGGAGCTTGGCAGAGGCTGGGACCAGCTGGCCACACGAGATGACACAGAAAACACAGTGGTTGGAGGGAGGCAGGTTTCAGCTGGGAGGACAGCCGGCTGGGCTCCCCAGCACGGGAGCAGAAGACACCTTCAGTGTCTTCACTCATTTGTGCCTGCAGCAGCCTCGCGGACTACAGCTCTCTCCTCTGTATTTTCCAACCTTAGAAACAGACTGCGAGAGGTCAAGCCACAGTCTGGAGTTGCTAAGTGGCAGAGCTGGGGTTTGAACTCAGTCCTGTGTAAATCTTCACTGTCCAACATGGCAGCCATAAGCCACCTCGCTGTTTAAATTTACACTTGGCAAAGTGAAAAGTTCACTTCCCAATGCACTGGACGGAGTAGAAGTGGAGCATCTCCGTAGCTGCGGTCCCATCTCCTGGGAGCACCCCAGGCCCAGGCAGGGCCTGAGCTGTTTTTCTCTTCTACTCCGCATGGTCTTATGCTTTGTTGAATAAGTTTTTAAGGATCACAATGTATTTTAGAGGAAGGAGATGTAATTTCTAAAAATTTTGCAACAGTTTTAAACCTGCAGAGAATTTGCCAGTCTTGTACAAAAAGTAGTTTTTCTGCCTTGTTTGAGAGCCAGTTGCTAACCTGGTGCCCAAACAGTCTTGGTTATTTTAATGTGAGTTCAGTGAAATAAGGACATCTTTCTGCATTTCTGCAGTAGAGTCATCGAAATTAGGAAATCGACACTGATGCATGCAGTGTTCAGATCTCATTCAAGGTTTTCCAATTGTCCCAATTTTGTCCTTTGTAACAATAGCAAGAAAAATTCCCACGAAGCCAGCTCAGAGTCACACTCTGCGTGTCGTCACGTGGTGCTTGGTCTCCATCTGCCTGGCCTTTCTTTAACTCTTAAAGTCATGAAGACGACTGTGCACTTCTTCATAGAACGTCCCCCGTGTCCTGTCAGACTCAGAGCTTTGTGTCCTGGGTGGAATCTTACGGACGGGACCCTCAGTGTCCCTCCAGTCGCCTGGGCTCACTGTTCCCATTGACCCATGACAGATAATGGTCACTGGGGTCCCTTGGGGGAGGTGGTGTCTGCCAGGAAGTCATTTTCCCCTGTGAAGTCCCTTCGTCACCCTTTTGTGGTTGTCAATAAGGACTGCAGAGGGCGTGAAGGGTCTGATCTCTTATTTCACCTTTAAAAGTCCAGCTCTGGGCCACGGAGACAGTGGGGACGCGTGGCACCGCCATACCCTTCTCTATCGGGTTTCCCATATGGCTGCCTCCAGGGCCAGTGTCCTTGCACCTCGTGGGTGGAGGTGCCTTCCTGAGCTGGGACCCTCACCCTCCATCTGGTTTCTGGACTAGCTTTGAGATTCAGATGGCCCCGACATCCAGGAACGCGGGTCCTACAGTCACAGACCTGGCTTTCAATCCTGGCCTTGCTGCTTCCAGCCTATGGCATCTGTCAGGGACCATGACACATCTGAGTGTCAGCCTCCTCCACTATCAGACCGAGAGTCACTGTGAGCACCTCTGAGGGCCACCACGCAGGTCGGCAGGTGGCCAGGTGCCTGGACCCCCCTGGGGCCTGGCGCATGCTAGAGACTTAGAGATTGCCCATTTCCTGCCAGCTTTGGGGCCAGCAGGCCTGTTCCCTGTCACGGCGCCCTGCCTGTGAACTTCCAGGCAGCTCGGTACATAAGCTGAGTATTAACCGAGAGCCAGAACACTGAGGCGTGCCGGAACTGGGTTGTCCTAGATGTTCATCCCATGCAGCACAGGACCTCTAGCACCCGGGTGAGGCAATAAATCACAGTGTGGTATAAGCCCCAGGCAACCTGGGGAGAGCGGCTGTGTGCCCGGCAGGTCAAAGCCGTGGGCTCGTCTGTGAATGACAGATTGAGGGGAGGGACCTGACAGAAGGGATCCCTCAGTGCCCTGTGTGCCAGCCCACACTCTGGGGTGCAGGGCCCACTGAACCCCAGCTTCTTCCTGGGGTCCCATGGGCATTGCTGCCCCTCTTTGGCCAGGCCTGGGGTTGTGGGCCTGCTGCATGGTTTCTGTGGCCCCCACGTTCCCCGTTTGGACTGAGCTAGTGTTTCTCATTCATGTGTTTGTCTGATGTGGGTTTTATTTTTTTATACAATCATATGTACCTGATTTTTTTTTTCCTGTACCAGGGATTGAACTCAGGACTATGAGCTTGTAAGGCAGGCACGTTGCCACTGAGCTGAATCCGCAGCCCGTGATGTGGGTTTTAATGAAGGTCAATTCCCAGGCTTCTGATAGAGGCGTGGCTGGGCTCAGACATCTGCATTTTTCACAGGGCCCTTGGCAGTTCTGACGTAGTATGTTGCAGGGCCAGGTTTGTAGGTGGCACTATGTGGGAGTGGACCACCTCAGGTTTCAGCATCCAGAAGCCCACAAGAGGTTCCTGTAATGGCGAAGCTCATGCCGGACACTGAGAAATCTCATGTCCAGGTCTGACGACAGTTTCCTTTTCCAGAATCCTCACCTTCCTGGAGTCTACATACATCCCTCCTTCTTATATCTCAGAGATGGAGAAGGCGGCCAAGCAGGGCGACACCGTCCTGGTATCCGGGATGAAGACCGGGAGCTCCAAGCTCAAGGCTCGCATCCAGGAGGCTGTCTACAAGGTGGGGTTGCGGGGACTCTCCCCACCTGGGCCTGCAGAGATATTGGGTGGGGAGCCAGCTCTGGAGCCCCATGACATTTGTGTTTCTGTTAGTCGCCTTTGTTTGAAGGAAGGCAGGGGTCCCCACCTCTGGGGTCTCAGACTAGGTGCTCAATGTCAGTTCTGAGGGACTTCCCAGAGGAGCAGGATTCTCAGTAACTACTCGTTCTAACTGGCGCCTTTTCCCCGCCCCCCGCAGTATAGGGACACCAAGACAACCCAGTGTCCCCCCATGCCATCTCCCCCTGCGCCCCAGCAGGAGCCAAGATGGTCCCTCGGTGGCCTCGTTTGAGAAGAGCTGTGTTCTCGCCCCTCCTCCTTGGCCCCCCATGTCCTCCCAGCCTCCCCACAGGAGCTGGAGGTGGGAGAGGTGTGTGTCAGAGACCCCAGACAGGGAACGGAAGCCAGGCGCAGGCCGCACCAAGGTCCTGGTTCCTCCTCGGTTCCTGCAGGACAATGTCTGTCCAGCCCGAGCTTCACTTTGGACCACAGCCCTGAGATGTTCCTGTCATCCGCCTGGCTCTGGAGCACAGGCAGCAGTGTAGGGAACCTTGTCTGCCATTGAATTTTGCAAAGTGATGGGCAAAGAGTAGTCCTGTGCTGATCCATCACTGTTTTAGTGGTTTAGCCAGTTGTTGGGAGTCTTGTAAGTTTTGGAAACATGGGACATGGGATGTCACAGGGGCCTGTCCTTCGGGACTTGGCAGATGGTACCAGGAGAGTTTGACCACACTGGGCTCCTAGGGCTAGGTTGGAAGACAACCCAGTTGTCCTTCCTGTGGTCAGTAGGTGGGCTCCAGCCTGTGGGGCTAGAAAGCACCTGCCACAGAGTCTAGGCCCATGGGAAGGGCTTGCTGTCTTTTAATGCACCAGAGACACTGTTGAACTTAATGTTAATTATGGAAACCTATAAGATGTTAGAACAGGTTCAAAGGAGACTCCAGACATCAGACAGATGTGCAGGCCGTCAGGGATGTTAAAGTGAATTTATAAAGAGGTGCAGCACTTCCCGGTATCCGCAGGGGATAGCAGTTGCACCTCCACGAGGACAGTGTCTGCATTTCTGCCTATAAGAATCACTGGCTTTGCCTTCCATTTTCTGCAGCTTACGAGGCTGTCCGGTAGCTCTAAGAGGGGAGGTACAGGCCCTTGTGGACTCTCGTACCCCGCGTTGCACTAAACAGGCATCATCGTATCTTTCTCAGTGTTTCCTAAGGAGGAGGCGGGGATGAGCGGCGGGCAGAGGGGCCAAGGACCTGGGATAAGGGCTCCTTGGACACACAGTGCTCTTCTTTTTCAGTTGGCCTGGGGCCTCCCAGCCTCCCTGGACCCCCGAGACTTGTGGGGTGAGAACTAAGCTTTTGGTGGCCACAGCCTCCTTTCTGGCTCCTCTCTTTCTTTCCATTTAGCTGCTGTTACTTAGATGGAGAGAGAACATGATAATGCACAATGCAGGGCCCCCCCCCGTAGGTTTTGGTGATGCCTACTGTGCACATCCACTGTACCCCCAGCTTCCTGGGGGTCTCTGGGACCAGCAGCTATGGCATTCTGACTGACACCTCGTTTCTTCCCCTTAACATTCCTGTTCCCTTAGGAGCATACTGGAAAGTTAAAAACCAAACCATTTCAGGACCAAAAACCAAACCATTTCAGGACCAAGCGTGTAGCTCTGCAGCAGAGCATTGCCTAGCATGCGCCAGGCTGTGGGCTCCATACCCAGCCCTGAAAAAACACTCTAAGTCTCTCTCAGCCACCTCTCCCCTTGCCCCTTTCCCGGTGCTCACCTTGCCTTCTTTGTCCTCTTCACATGTCAAGAGCGTGCATCCTGCGGAGGTCAGGCTGCTGATTCTGGAAAATATCCTCCTGAACCCAGCCCACGACATCTACCTGCTGGTGGGGGCCTCCGTTCGCTACAAGGTGCAGAAGGTCAGGCAGGGGAAGATTACAGGTGGGTCTGGCCTGGGGATCCTGGGCAGCGCTGCTGTCCTTCTTGGTTTTGATGAACACGCCTAACAGAAAGTTCACCATCGTCACTGCTGTAGCACACAGCTCACCGGCATTAAAACCTTCACTTTCTATGCAGCCATCACCACTGTCCACCTCCATCGCTTTCCAACTTCTCCAACTCTGTCCCTATGAAACATGAACTCCCCGTTCCTCCTACCTCAGCTCCTGACAATCACAGCCTACTTTATGTCTCCATGCATCTGACTCCTCTAGGGATCTCATGTGAGGACAATCATGGGATATTTGTTCTTTTGTGTTTGGTTTATTTCATTTAGCATCCTGTCCTTGAGGTCCATCCGTGATGAGATGTGCAGAATCCTCTTTAAAGGTTGGACGACATTCCATTGGATAGATGAGACCACGTTTTGTTTAGCCACTCATCTGTCGGGGGACCCTGGGCCCCCTTGTCTTTTGGCTTTTGTGAATAACGGTGCTGTGAACATGGGTGTGCAGATACCTGAGTCCCTGCTTCCAGTTCTTTTGGGTCTTTATCCCTTCAGTTTGAGCACCTCAAGAGCCATGGGCTTCCTTATGGCTCTGGTCTGCCAGACTTGAGCAAACTTGAACAAGCCATCCCTGCCCTGGGCTTGGCTTCCCATGCAAGCCCCCGAGGCCTTTCTGTGGGGCTGCAGGGACAGCAGGGGTTGACAGGAGTGGGGTTGTTCTGGAAATTCTGAAACCCTGAGCATATGGGGCGTGTTTAGAGGGTGAGTGTTCTTCATGGAGTACAGGTCTCCCTAAGAATTGTAACCCTTTTGTTCACACTTACACGCATAACCCCAGAGTGTATAGCATGAGAGCCTCAGGTACCAGAGTGTTGTATTCAGGTCTGTCCTCATGAGGGCTTTGGACACAGGTCCTGGCAGGTGACTTCACCGAGGTGACAGGGCTGCCTCATCTATGATGTGGGGTGTCCTGGCAGGGATGCGTGTAGATGCTTCAGCCTATAGGTGACTGGAGCCCTTGTCCATAGATAGGGACCCGAGGGACACTGCATCTTTGAAGTCTCTCTCAGCTGCTAGCACAGTTGGCGAGTCATTCCCGGGGGTGGAGCACTCAGTCTCCCCAAGGCCAAGGATGCCGGTGACGGGCTGCCCCTGCCACTGGGCCCCCTGCCACTGGGACCTAGTTGAAGGGATGGGAGCTTGTGTTTCCTGGGTGCCTGCCGTGAGCAGGGCAGGTGCCATCTGCCGTCTGCCTGGTGTTGAGTCGGAGGCTGAGGATGTGTAAGAAGCCTGGCTTGGGTGTACTGGTCAAAGCCTCACGCTCAGCCTAGACTCCAGGGAAGATTCTAGAAGGATGGGGACCATCCAAGGTGAGGCTTTCTGTGGCTCAGAGGCGGAGCTCTGAGGACACCAGCGTAGTGTCCTCAGGAGCAGTGCATGGGGGAAGGAGATTGAAAGGCCAGAATGTCGCTGTGACCTGAGGATGGGGGTCTGGAAAGGCCAGGCATGGCCGACAGCGCCTCACCATGACTGGGCACCTCTGGAGGGTCGGGCAAGATTCTGGGGCCTCTTTGTGTTGTGACCCAAGAACTCAAGGGAGGTGGGTTTTATAAACACTCCATTTTATGGATGTGTAAAATAAGGCATGGAAAACCTGCATGTCCCCAAGCGCTGGGGCTAGGGCTGGGGCTGGGGCTGGGGCAGGGGCTAGGGTGATCACAGAAAGAGCTCACCCTGCATTAGGTCAGGCGCTCCTGGCCCAGAGGAACTACAGCTCTCAAGGGACCAGGAAACTGGGGGATTTGGTCACTGATCTGTCATCAAAACCAAAGAGTTGGAGCCCATGAAAGATGCATCGGGGTAGGAAAGAAATGAGTTGCCTCCTCCCCTCATTGAGTATGAGACAGAAAATTCCTCCAAACCCAGGCACACCTGCGTGATTGGTGCGATGGCTGCCAGGGCCTTGGTGTGGCTTCCGCATGGACACCTGGGAACTTGGAGGCCAGGCCAGCCCAGGTTCACCAGGAGCTGGCAAGATACGCTGATGGCAATTCCCTCATTTTCCTTCGATGGGCTTTGGAAATTGAGATATAATTCACACCACTGTCCGGTTTAATAGGCTTACTGAGCTGCAAAGGCAGGGGGTGACATCATCCTCCGGACCTGATTTTCACAGATCGCTCTCTCGCAGGGCCTCTGTGGGAAGCTCAGGGAATTCTAGGTGGGTGACGGTTCATGGTCTTAGCCTTGTGCTGGCTCTCATACCTCCAGTTTAATTCTTCTGTGTTGTCTTTTCTTTTGCATTTCCTTCCTTAGAAATGTGATTGTTCTGTGTTCTCATCTTTATTTCCCATAGGTCGCCTTCCCCTTTGTCTGTGTCCCTTTTTCAGGCGTATTTAGTGGGCACCTACTGTGTACTGGCACTTTGCTGAGTGCTCGCTGCCCCGAGGTCAGCCCAGTGTGGGGGAAAACGGTGAAACTTTGGGCTTGGAAGCCCTCCCCGCATGGAGCCAGTTAGGAGAGAGGGGCGCCTGGAACTTGGAGCCGGGCCAGCCCGTGGGGCACCCACGACTAACTGTCCTTCGGCCTTGACATTGAGGTAGCTTGTCTCCTGGGAGTTGAGTGTTGCAGACTTGGTCCTTTGTGTGGGGAGCTGAGGGGTGGGGCAGAGATGGGGTCCTGAGGTCACTGAGGCCCAGAGGCTCCTGGGGATCCTGAGCCTGGTTCCCCCCGCCTCCGCTTCCCTCGGCTCCCTGCTGGCCATGTGTCCTTCCCTCTTGCACATGCTCTTATGGTTGTAGTCAGAATGAGGGCCTCATACGAGCCCAGCCAGTGCCCCTGAGTCTGCAAGACTGGGAGCAAAAGAGACCACTGAAATTCTTTACTTTCTCTCTTTCCCTTTTCTCCTTTCTTCCTTCGCCCACTTCCACCTCCCCTTTCCCCTCCTCCTCTTCCCCTCCCCCTTCCCTTCCTTCCCTTCCTTCCCTTCCTTCCCTTTCTTCAGGTGCCAGGTATTGACACCAAGGTCCTGTTACAAGTCGGGCCTCTGAGCTCTGCCTTGGAGCTCTGCCTTGGAGCTGCCCCCAAGCCCTGTCTCATCTCATCTCTTCTTTCTCTCTCCTCTCCCTACCCCTCCTTGTCTGTCTTTTGTTGTGGTGGTGGTACTGGGGATTGAACCCAGGACCTTCACACTGAAGTACCTCCCCAGCCTTTTCTTCTGTTTTTCGTTTTAAGACAGTCTCCCCAAGTCACTAAGTGGTCCAGGTGGGGCTCTTCCTGACTCATCCTCCCGGATGCTGGGATTGCAGCCCCCTTTTCTTTATAATGTTACACTACCTCTGGTGTTTCGCTGTGGTAATGCAGAGCAGACTGATGTAGTCCCTAATCTTGTTGGTATTGGGGTTGGTCACAGAAATCAAATGTGGGCAGGATGTGCTGGCTGACGGAATTGGTGTCTGAGAGAACTTGAGAGGTTGGAATGGTGGAGACGACTGAATAAAGTGCTCTAAGCAACCGGAATGGTTGTGGGGCTGGGGCTCAAGTGTGAAAGATTTGGATGGGAAAGGGCTCGGGACCCCACACAACTTGCTCTGTGGCTGCTCCAGCAGTGACTTCTGTGCAGGGGCCCTTACAGATCACAGATCCACATCCTGAGAGGTTTGTAAAGAGCCTGTCAGGGCCCTTATTTTCACAGTATTTGCATCTCCAGGAGGGGATGGCCTGTGTGCAGAGCTCTAAGCAGGGGACGAATTTTGTGCCTCGTGAAGCTACATCCAATCTCGTTGCCTTTTTGAGCTGTGTGGCTTTCTTGGGATGTGTGTCCGTGAGGCAGTGCCACTGCACCAGCAGCCAGAGTCACCACCTGGCCTCAGAGCAGGAAATGGGCTGTGTTTGTGCTAAGTGACAAGCCCAGGGATTCTCAGTCCCAATCCACCTCAGGGTCACCTTCAGGGCTTGGGCAGGGCTCAGATGACACACACAGCCCAGGGGCCACCCTCTGAGAACCCTCGGATCTAGAGGCAGATTATTGGAGCAGATCAGTGACACTCCAGGATGGGAGAGGGCGCAGCCTCCCATCCAGAATCCTGATCACAGTTGTTACTTCTGAAAGATGCCTTAGCTGAAATTCCTTCTGCAGCCTGGACCTGGGCATTTTCCCTGCCAGGCTCTGAGGAGGGCCCCAAAGAGGAGTGGTGGCCCTGAGCCTCCCCCACCATTGTTTGTGGCAGCAGGGCAGGGTGTAGCCACAGCCACAAGGATGGATGTCCTGAGGCCTCAGGAGAGGGAGCGTGAAAGTGATCGGCCCCTGGAGTGGGACTCTTAGCTCTGCTGTCCACAGCCCCAGGGTCAGGTCTTGGTCTGCATTCTGCTGCTGTAACAAAATCCCTGCAGCTGTTCACTTTGCAGAGTGAAGAGTTTTATTCAGCTCACAGCTCTGGAGGCCCAGGAGGTTGACACTGGCTTGTTTGGCTTTGCAGCTTCCTCAGCTGCATTGTGACATCTTGGTGCCAGTGTGTGTGAGAGGGCGGTTTTCTCACAATCTTCTCTCCCAGGAGCTCTCCCAGGTTCTGAGAGAGCCACCTTCATCCTTTCCCAGGGCCTCTCCCCAGAGACCACCTTCCTCCCACCAGGCTCCACCTCTTAAAGGGCCAGCATCCCTTATCACTGCACACTGGGGACCAGGGTTCCAGGCACGAACCACATCAGACCTAGCAAAGCTCAGCTTGACTTCTGCCGCCCCTCCGCTCTGCGGGTGGGGGTCTGTACTTCTGTCTCTTGGTTGTGGAGGGAACAAATGAGGGGATGACTCCTGAGACTGTAGGCATCTTCATTCCCTGGTCAGTAGTTGCTGTTGCTTTTCCTTTTTCTGCTTGTCTGTCTGTGTCTGTCCATCCATCCATCTGTCCTTCCTTCCTTCCTTCCTCTTTCTGTCTTTTTTTTGTGCTGGGGATGGAACCCAGAGGGTCATACACGTTCTACCTCTGAGCTACACCCCAGCCCCAACATTTGTGTCGAAAGTGCTCTGTGCTTGTGAGATGAGGAAGATGGTGTGTTTCATGGAACTCATTATTTCCTGGAAATTTGTTGATCCCAGCTCACATCGGCCAACTCTTTCCTCTGCAAAATGCAGGGATCCCTGAGCACAGACTCAGCTCTTTACAGCTGTAGACCCAGCTCCTGAGTCCCAGTGGGAGACCATGCACCTTTGTAGGAACCCCCAGAGATCAGACAGAACCAGGGAGATGCACCCTAGCCCAACAGAGAGTTCACCCACTTGAGCAGTGACCAGAAACGGTGTAGTGTCAGCATTCTTCAAGTAGTTGGCAATTGCAGGCAGAGGCTGTCGTCAATTCAGAAAAGAAAGAAAGCAGCTTACGGCAGTGACAAAAAAACTGATTGCCTTTGAAAATTCATCATGTGTCAGCTTTGTCCACAGGCATGGAGAATAATATTCAAATGTAAAGCACTGAGAAACTAAGCCAAAACTGTCAACAGCTGTACTGACAAGCAGGGCCCAGAGATTGGGGGCCGGGTGGCCACTGGGTGCCTGACAGTTCACATCTTCACTCCGCGTCTCCCTCTCTGTTTCTCATTTTTTTTTCCTTCTCAGAACTCTCGATGCCTTCTGAGCAGTATGAGCTGCAGCTTCAGAACAGCATCCCGGGCCCCCACGGAGATCCTGGTCAGCCTGTGGCTGTCCTGGCCCAGGACACATCGAGGGTGACTGCCCTACAGCTGGGACAGAGCAACCTGGTCCTCGGCCACCGGAGTATCCTCTTCCCAGGCAGTGTGTATCTGCATCGTCATGTCTGCTGCTTTGAAGTCAAGTTGTTTTTCTCTCCCTGAGAGCCAGTCGAGGATAAAAATAGCCCTGTTTTCCCCCAACCATCTGAAAATCAGAAAGAACTGAAATAGCAGCACCGCTGCATGGAATTGCTCACCTCTGTGGGTGACTCGCTGGAGAGATACCTGGGAGGGAGTGATGGTGGGAACCTGCTGTTCTCACCCCCGTGGAGACTGCTTCCGGGCCTGCCAATCCCCGGGCTGAGGGGCATTTTCTACCCCCGCATGTGGGTTGTTGAGGGCCCAGGGTTGTTTGTGTCCCATGCGACCTCTGGTGTCCCTTATGGAGGTTCAGCTCTGCTGGGGTAGAGTTGCAGGGAGGCCTTTGGCTGGGGAGATGCTTCTGCTCCATTTGGCCTAAGCCAGGGTTGGGGGCGGTTCCAGTGCCTCTTCTGTGCCATGTGATCATCAGGTTATCCAGCCAAGCTGGAGCCACCAGCTGGATTCCTTGCTGTCTTGTGTTCTGTCCCTTAATCAAGAACTCAGGTATCCGCATGCAGGGTGCTTCTAGGCTGCCCAACAGCACCATCTACGTAGTGGAACCCGGATACCTGGGTGAGTAAAACACCAAAGCAAGGGCTGGGGGTGTAGCTGTGTGGTAGACGGCTCACCTAGCATACGTGAGGCCCTGGGTTTGATCCCCGGCACCAAACAAAAAAGAGAAAAACCAACAGCTCTCAACCTTGGCCATTTATGTCACCTGAATGGCCAGGGCCATCAGCCTGCAGCCCGAGTCGAGAAGGTGGGGGCCTGCAGAGCAACACGGGACGGGAAGAGCAGTAGAGGAAAGAGGGACATTTGAGAAAGGAGGAGAGGAGCGTGCAGCAGTGAGCACCCTAAGAGGCATAGCCAGGGCCTGGAGGCTGTTGTGACAGACAGCAGCTTGAGACTCTGTGGGCACCTGTGTCATCCAGAGTTACCATGGCAACCATCCCTGGGCTGGCAACCCCCTCCTTCCTCAGTCTGAGGACCACACTGAAGCTGTTCAGTTGAGAAAACCTAACGAGTAGCAGACTCCCTAGGTCCTCTGTTCACCAGCTTATGAAGTGGTTGTCTGGTGCAGACCTGAGTGACAAGGTAGTAACACCAAGGAAGGTGAACTTTGTGTCTCAGGAGCTCCATTGGCTCAGAAACATTCCTTGGTGCCTTCTGTGTTCGTGGCCTGGGCTGGGCACTGGGGTTCAGGTGCGGTAAGATGGGATGCTGGACTTGGGTTCATGGGGGTGGGGTGTGACAGGACAGAGGTAGGGAGTTAGTAACATGAGCACAGGCGAAAGACTTCCAGGGCTTTGTGGTGTGGCCAGCGTCATCTTGGATGGAACTTCTGTTGTGGGCTCAGAATCTAGACCTGCTGTGGCCTTGGGCCAGGCCTGCTGTGCTGTGGTGGGAACCCAGACAGGCCTTGGGCTTAGAGTCTAGACCTGTGCATGCCTCAGCCCCTACACCTGCGTAGGCCCCCGGCTAGGTGTATGCTGCTCACGGTCATCCCAGAATAGACCTCACTGCACACAGTCTAGCTCAGGCCGGGCCCACCCTGGCCTCAGAGCGAGATCGGCCATTGCCCCAGCTTGCGCTGGCTGGGCCTCAGACCCTAAAGCCTTCTGCGGCTCCCCACGAGACCTTGGAGTCTGGATCTGCTTTGGCCTCAGCAAGAGCTGCCATGATCGCAGACAGGGTAGCAGTCTCCGAGCCTCAACCAACCGTAGTCTCAGGCTCCACCTTTTATAGATACCATACCTACACTTCAGTGTGGCCCAGAGCCTTCATCTGCCGTGACCTCAGAGCCTAGACCTGCTTTAGCCTGAGAGTCTGCACTCGCCATTGCTCCAGGTGACACCTCTCGTGGCCTTAGAAGCTAGACCTGCATGGCCTCCAGCTAGAGCTGCTGTCTCCTTAGAGTCTGGCTTGCTGACCGCAGGGCCTTGACCAGCTACGGCTGCAGGGTGGAGCCACCGAGGCCTCCGCCTGGACCTGCTGTGGCCCCAGTCTTGACCTGTCCTGGCTCAGGGCCTAGATCTGCCAAGGCTGAGGCTTCTTGTGTGTCCCAGGCTGCCCTTGGTGCAGCCTCAGAATCTGGACTTCTGTGGGCCCTGCCAGACCTGCTGTGGCCTCAGACTGGACCTGCCATGGCCAGACAGCTTTGACCCACTGAGTTCCAGATCCAGTCTAAGGAGTCCTGTGCAGTCTGAGTGGGGAGCATTCACGGTTGGTCCCTGGGAACCAGCTGAGGGGCTGAGGGCTCAGAGCTAACGTGCGCACCCTTCTCAACAGTTAGTCCTTCTCCAAGTAGGGGCTGGTGAGGAGTTGCGGGGTCCCCATACCCAGTGCCTGATATCATCTCCCCCTTTTCCTTGTTTTTAGGGTTCACAGTCCACCCTGGTGACAGGTGGGTGCTTGAGACCGGCCGCCTGTACATGATCACCATCGAAGTGTTTGACAAGTCCAGCAACAAGGTCCACCTGTCCGACGTGAGTGCTTGCTGGGGCCCTGGCGGACTGATGAAGCAGGGTTGTCTCCTGGAGCAGCCCCAAAGCAACAGGGGTTCCCATGCAGGAAGAGGAGGTCTTCCGTTCCCTACTGGCACTCCTTGGTCTGTGAGACACTGTCATGGGGTGCTTTGAGGCCCAAGTCTACAGGGCTGCAGGGGCATGCCCCAGGCAGCAGGAGAGGCATTTCTGCCTCTGCTCTCCTATCCCCTGGGGTCGGAGCCCAGAGATCTCAGAGCTGAGTCTGCTGCCTTCCAGCTCTGCCCTTCCAGAGCCCCTGGGTGACCGGGCCCACCTCAGTTAGCTTCCTGGCTCTGCAGTGCAAGCCAGACGACAGGGGACAGTCCCTTGAGAGAGCTTCTCAGTGTCATCAGAACATCCAGGGTCTTCTTGGTGGAGTTGGAGATTTTGTGAGGATGCCACGTTCCTCTTTTGGTTTCTTTGTTAATCAAAGACTGGGGCCATCACTATTCTGTTTCAAGTTAATTCTTAAGGATTTTGTTGTTATTGTTGTTGGTTCCTAGTTGAGGAATCAGGGCTTAGGGGAGTTGACTGTAGGCTGCAAGCTTCCCTGACAACCACACAGTGGGCTGGAACTGGGCTGGGTTGATCGGCCCATGCAGAGAAGGAGGCTAGAAAAGATCAGAGGCCAGGGTGGTTGGTGGCTTTTGGAGACTCTGAGCCCTGGAGAGCCCTGTGGCCTGGCCTGGCTACTGCTTTGGGGTCCTACAGCTGCTTTCCTGAAGTCGGCCTTTCCTGAGTTCTCCCAGAAGCACAACTTACCCATCCTTCTCACCTTGCAGAGCATCCGGATTGAAGCCAAGCTTCCTGCTGAGTTCTTTGAGGTTCTCTCGTCTTCCCAGAATGGGTCACACCACCACGTCAGGGCGATTCAGAAGGGCCAGACGACCATCCAGGCAGCCCTCACCTCTGTGGTGGACCAGGCAAGTTGGTGCCTCCTGCTCTCCGTGCCCTGCTCCCCCGCTGTGCTGCTCTCCAGGTGCTGGGAAGGCCTCTCCCTCTCTGCCCAGAGCCAGGCAGGCGGGTGTCTTCCTGTCCCACCCTCACTCCCCTCTCCCTGCCTCTGTTAAAGGGCCTGTGACTTCCAGGACCGGAGATGGTGCTCTTGTTCTGGGAGACAGTGCTGGGCCTGGCTGGGGCCCAGCCCAGAGCCACCAGCATCCCTTCATCTGTTCTGTCTGTCCAGGTGCTGCAGACCTTCTTCTGTGCTTAATAGATTGACCAGTTTTAGATAGGGACGGTATTTTACCATTTGGCACTTTGGCACAGATGTCCCCCTTTTCCCACTCCACACAAAACCCTTCCAGACCTGGAAGAGGCAGCAGCACAGGGCAGAGCAGGAGTGGCCCATATCCTGTGGTGCCTCAGCCTCTGACCCCTGAAGGTTGGAACAAATTGCTCCAAGACTCTGTTTCCCCATCTGTAAAGTGGGTACAGCCAAGTCCTTTGTAGCATGGGGGCCCTGAGGTCTCGGTCCAGCAGCACGTGTGTGAGTGGCCCTTACAGAGCCCCAGACAGCCGCCCCCAGGGAGCGGAGGAGGCTGCGGGCTATCATCGTCTTCTTCACTCCCACAGCGCAGAATCTGCTGCTCCCCAGGGAGGGGCAGGGGGCTGGGAGGATCTGCTGGTGGCCTGGTTGGCATGGTGACATGCAGCACTCTCACCCCTCGTAGGATGGAGGGGTCCATGTCCTACAAGTGCCTGTGTGGAACCAGCAGGAGGTGGACATCCACATCCCCATCACCCTGGATCCCAGCATCTTGACGTTTCCTTGGCAACCGAAGACAGGCGCCTATCAGTACACAATTGAGGTACCAGAGACCCCACTGGGTGCCTTCCTTGGGTTGTTTCCAAGGAATTGTGGCTCTTCGTCCATTCTGTCACTTTCAGCACCACCCTCTAGTGGACAGAGGCAGTTTTAAATCCCAGCCTTTGGCACTGCTGTGCTTCCTGAGATTTCCACCACAGCCATGTATTTAGTGCAGGGGAAACCCAACGACTGAAGTAGAAAAGGAAGTCTGGAATGGATTTGAGTTCCACTTCATCTTTTTTCTGAAAACAGCATTTTTTTAAAAGGCTGTATGAATACAGTTGGAGAACAGTGCGAAATTCAAGGGGAAAACATCTGCGGCCGTGTCAAATACGGAGCATTACTGTTTGTTGCTATCCGTGTTCCCACGTGGCCTTAGCCAGCAGGGAGTGACCTCAGGTGGGACTTGATCCTGGGTCAGCCGAGTCCCCATCACTCCCGCAGTCCGTGTCCCCGGAATGCGAGTGTGTCGCGTTCTTGGTCTCTGCGCCTTGGGATTGTGACTTCTGACTTGGGAAGAAGAGGGATTGCCGTCTGCTTCCCAGCAGATGATTTGGAGCAGGCGGGCTGTGTGCTGGGAGGAGCTTGTGCCTGGTCACAGAAGCACCGTCCTGCAGGTGCCTCCCTGGCCAGACCTGGTTCCTATTCCAGCCTGAGCCCTGGGAGATGCCACCGGGTCCCGGGACCCTTGTCATGGCTGTGTATTGTGTGCGTCAGTCACAAGGGCCTCGGAGTAGGCAAACTGGAAGTGAGACTGCACACAGCAAGCAAGGGCCAAAGGGAGCCACTGGCAGATGCTGCCTGACACCATGGTGTCCATGCAGAGGACACCTCCTATGTGCGTGTGGGTGTGTGAGTGGGTAAGTGCACACAGGTCTGTGTCTCATGAGTTGTAAGGATGACTGGGTGGTCTGAATGCTGTGTGTGCATTGGCTAACAAGTGTGAACATGTGTGAATGTGTCAGTGCTGGAGCGTGTGAGCAAAGATGTGAGTGAGCAGGTCAGTGAGTGTGAGCATGTGGGTGTGAACAGATGAGTGTGAGTGTGGTTGTGAGGGTAATGTGTGAGCTTGTGACTGAGCAGGTGAACATGGGTGGGTAGACACCGGCGTGAGGGGAAGCATATGTGAGCATGAGCGTGCACACTGGTCCCCGACCTCGCGCCTCCCCATGCAGGGGGAGGATGGAGGCCTGGTGGATCCATGGTGATTTTCCTCCCTAGGCCCACGGGGGCAGTGGGAACTTCAGCTGGTCATCATCAAGCTCCATGGTGGCCACGGTCACTGTCAAGGGCACGATGACCACAGGCAGTGACATCGGGCTCAGTGTGATCCAGGCGCATGACGTCCAGAACCCGCTACATTTTGGCGAGATGAAGGTGAGACGCTGGGCCAGGACAGCCCATGGGGAGCTTGGGGATGAGGTGCCACTGCCTCTCCCTTACCCACTGCCTTGGTCCTGTGGCCCATGTTGGCACATGTGAGGGCGTTCGGGGCTCAGCCCCAGCTATGCTCTTAGAAGCCCACGGTGGAGCAGGGAGTGGAGATGGCACCACCAGGAGACAGTGACAGGACCATAGGGCCAGCCACCTCAGAGCCAGGCATTCTGGAGGGGGGTCTGGAGGACACGGGGGACCAAGGACATCAAAGAGCCATTTTAGAAGGGGCCCCATGCCTAAAAGTTGCGAATCTCAGAGTGGGAGGGCCCTAAGGGCTGGGTTGTAAATTCGCAGAGAAGGGGCTCCCCGGGCTCCCCAAGGCAGCTGGGCCCCTGCTCCCCTTCAGGGGCAAAGTCAGGGTTTCCTCTCCCGGGTGCGGCCCCTGGTACCGACACTGAGCAATGTGGGGTCGTCTCACTGAGCAGTGGGGTGATGGCAGGTGGGCTTGTCACCTGCGTCGAGCCCCGCCCAGTGCCACCTGATGACTGCTCTGGGGATCCCCTTTTTGCCTCACTGATGGCAGAGGTGGAGGCCCCGTGCATCCAGTCACCAGCATCTCCTAAGTTACCTGGGGTGTGAGGTCTTGCATTTCAATGCACACGTCTCTACTGAAGACAGCTCTGATTCTCACCAAGATATACTTCCAGAGGCCCTTTGGAGAGGCAAGACTGCCCAGTATTGGGGTCCTCTGGGACTCCCTTGCCCTGCCCCCTTCTTCCTCTTGGGAAATGTGCCACCTTTTACCCATGGTGTCACAGTTAGGACGTGGCTTCTGGGCCAGACTCAGGGTCCCACCTGGCTTCCTGATTTTTGGGGGCTGTTGCATCCATCCTTGAGCAGAGTCCTTGGCAGGAGAGGAGGGTGGCAGTGGGCCCACCTGCCAGGCAGGTGAGAGAGCCCGGGGGCTTTCAGAACAGAACCTGCAGTGTGTAAAGGTTGGTTTCACAGGCACGTGAGCTGTTGTTGCCTCTTCCGCTGTCCTCAGCCAAATGACCAGTGCTCTCCTCAGCTGGACATTCAGAAACTGTCTCAGCTCAAACCTTCCCATGCCCACTGCCACCCTCTCTCTGCGACGCCCCAGCACCTCCCCACTACACACCGGGCTGCTGGTTGTGATCAGATGGGAGAGTGAGGGCACCTTGTGAAGTCCCCTGGCTCAGCCACTGCAAGCACCAGTGTCCTGCAGGCGCTGGTCCCTGGCTCTCAGACCCCACCCATGTCACCACCCACTCCCCCACACCCAGAATGCTTCCCCGGAGTTCTCCTGGTAGCCTGTGACCTGGCTCTCAGGTCTGAGCTTCTCAGTCACCTTCTCTGGCCTCTGGTTCCCCGAGTCCCCCCACCCAGCCCAGACCCCTTCCTGACACACCCTGCCTTCCCCATCCACAGACGCCCTCAGACACCCAGCACCCAGGCTTGCTCCTCTCAAGGACCCTGATGGGCCTGGCCCTCACCCTGTCTTCCAGGTGTACGTTATCGAGCCCAGCAGCATGGAGTTCGCCCCATGCCAGGTGGAAGTGCGTGTGGGCCAGACGCTGGAGCTGCCCCTGAGGATCAACGGCCTTATGCCTGGCGGGACAAATGAGGTGGTCACCCTGAGCGACTGCTCCCACTTCGACTTGGTGGTGGAGGTGCAGAGCCAGGGCGTGTTCCAGCCTCTCCCAGGTAAACCCACGCTGCTGAGTCAGGGGCATTGGGGCCAGATTGTCTGGGTTCTCAACGTGGGGCACTCAGGGTCCTAGAGGGCGCAGGGCGACAGATGGGCCACTGCCTGAGGAGTGCCAATTGTCCCCCTTTCCCCTCAGCTCAGGTCTGATCTGAATCTTGCCTGTTGTGTGACCTTTGGCAAGTCACCTGCTACTCTGGGCCTCAGTTTCCACATCTGCTCACAGCTCTGAGGAAGGGGCCAAACCAGGTTCCCTCTTAGGCAAAGGCAACTTATAGGGATGGAAGAAAATACCTGCAAATTGTTTACCTAACAAGGAAGGGACTAATACCTAGAACATATGAAGAACTTATACATGTCCACAACAGTAAAACAATCCAAACCAGGAGCAAAGTGCTTGAGTAGACATTTCTCCAAATGTGATATATAAATAGCCAATGAGCCCATGAAAAGATACTCAAAACTGCTCATTATCAGAGAAATAGAAATGCAAGTCACAGTGAAAAACCACGCCTTTTAGGATGTCTGCTATCAAAACAACAGAAAATAACCTGTGTTGGCAAGGGTGCAGAGAAACTCGAACGGTTTTATACTATTAGAGGGAATTGTAAAAGGGACAGCCACTGTGGAGAACAGTATGGTAGTTCCTCAAAAAATTAAAAGCTAGAATTACCTTGTGATCCAGCAATCCCATTCCTGGGCATATGTCCAAAGGTACTGAAGCGCAGCCTTCAGGAGGTGTTTGGAAACCCATCCTCTTAGTAGCTTTACAGTTGCCCCGAGGTGGAAACAGTCTTCTTGTGCATCAGAGATGAGTGGATGAATGCAGTGCTCATGTATCTGGACCATGGGATACTGGTCAGCCTTACCAAGGAAGGAGATTCTGACCTGGTACAACATCAGGAAATCTCGAGGCCATTCTGCGGAGTGAAACGATCCAGTCACCAGTGCTGTATGACTCCGCTTCTGTGAGGTCCTAAGAGGGGTCAGATTCAGGAGACAGAAAGTAGAATGGAAGGTTCAGGGACTGGGGGTAGGAAGAAGTGGTCAGTTATTGTCTGCTGGGTTTAGAGTTTGTTTGGAAAGCTGAAAAGACTTACGTGACAGAAGGGGCCAATGGTTATACACCCAGGTAAATGCACCAAGTGCTATATGCATAAAAAATGTAAAGGTCTGTGTATTTTCCCACAATTAAAATAAGCTTTAAAAAAGCAATTGAAAATGGATGGACTATAATGTCAGGGATGTGGAGACGCTGCTAGGAGCAGTGTAAATTGATACCATTTGGGGGAGATACTTGGCAAGATGAGTAGAGCTAAGCATGGACACAGCCCCCGGCCTCGTGGTCCCCTCTCCTGGGGACACATGACAGAAATCCTGGGCATGTCCTCCAAAACAAAGGCTCTCAGATGTTCACATCGGTGCCACATCACACCCTGGAACTGAAAACAGCTCAGATGTGCCGGGTTTCCTGGGGAGTGGGTTGCTATCCATTCATACAGCAGAACAGCCATAGACATGCGGCTGGAGGACATGTAATGTGCACCCAGGGAGCCTCAGGCATGGTATTGAGTTGAGGAAGCCAGACATGGAAGGGCACATCTCGGTGACATAGTCAGGCTGTCCTGGGGGGTGTCTGGGGAGGGCTTGGAGACCAGGAGGGTCTGCAGGAGGTCCTGGGAGTGCTGGGATGTTCTCCTCCTTGCCCCAGGTCCCGGATGAGACAGGGTGTGTTGACTGTGGAGGAGAACACTGAAGTGCTGGTTGTACATTTTGGTATGGGACTCAGGATTGATTGGTTGATTGGGTGCTAGAGATTGGACCCAGGCCCCTGTGGATGCTGGGCAAGCACCCTACACTTGAGCCATCCCCCCAACCCCTAGAATTTCTAAGTCGGGACAGAATCTGATTGTGTATGAAGCCCAGAGTGAGAGTGGGCCACTCCTCCCCTCAGGGCGGCTGCCACCCGGGTCTGAGCACTGCAGCGGCGTCAGGGTGAGAGCCGAGGCCCAGGGCTCCACCATACTCCTCGTGAGCTACACGCATGGCCACGTACACCTGAGCGCCAGGATCACCATCGCTGCCTACCTGCCCCTCAAGGTGAGCCAGGGCCCTGCCCTCTGCCACCCCTTCTCTGCTGTGGGTTCCTGGAGACGGGGTGGGCATCTGTGGCACCCCCTGTCCCATAGACCCCGACCCCCAAGCCAGGCAAGGGCCCAGCCCTGCCCTAGCACTGTCCGCCCAGGAATGCGAGCCTTCTCCCTCTTTCTTCCCCAGGCGGTGGATCCCTCCCCTATTGCTGTGGTAACCCTGGGCTCCTCCAAGGAGATGCTGTTGGAAGGAGGCCCCCGACCCTGGGTCCTCGAGCCTTCCAAGTTTTTCTGCAATGTCACCTCCGAAGACATGGACAGCATCAGCATGGTTCTCTTGGGCCCCCCTGCCTCCCGGAATTACCAACAGCACCGGATCCTTGTGACCTGCCAGGCCTTCAGCGAGCAGGTGAGAGGGCAGCTGAACATAGCACCACTTTCTTTAATCCTCAGAGGAAATCTGAGAATGCTCCTGTTGTCCTATTTTGCAACCAGGCTGACTAAGGTCAGGTGATGCAAGATGGCTGAGTTAACAGCACGCAGGCTGAGTAGGGTGCAGCAGTTGCAGTCCCCTCTCCAAAGACCCTCGCTTTCGTAGACCCAGCCTATCAGTGTGGCTTCCCCTCTTGGGCCTGCAGAATCCTCCCCCACCAGCTGGTGAGGAGGGTGAGGGGCTTGAGATCGGGGTCTCAAAGTTGGATGACTCCAGCCCAGGGTCAGGTGTTATACAGGAGTGTGTGACCTGAGACCCCAGGCTGGCGCCTCTTAGTATTAGTGTGAGCTGGAAAGCCTGATGTTTTTGGATGTGGAATCTCTTGTTGTTTCGCTAGATTTTTGTTTTTGTGTTCGAATGCTGAAAACCGAAACTGGGAGACAGCTGAATGAACTGAACCAAATGCATCTGAGAATCCCCACAGAGCCTGCCTGGCTGGGTGGGTTTGGCAGCTGGCTGTGCAGGTCCCCTGTGCCTGGCACTGGTTCCCAGGTCTACTGCTCAGCTCCCCGGGCTCCCAAAGCAGGAGGAAACAGGAAGTCAGGTGGGAGGTCAGTGTGAACCAGGAGGGACGGGACAGTGCCCGCTTTGGGGGACAGTGAGGATAGCCAGGCATGTCTAATAGTGCAGAGAACACAAAGTTAGCTAAAAGGCACACAGGTACACCCCATGTGGTGTCCCTTATGTCGACCACACCGAGACTGCACCAGTATGATCAGAAAAGTACGTGGAGTAAAAGGCCTACTGCCCACTGGATCGCTGGGGAAAATCCATGAAATATGAAGAACAGTAAACACATAATACTAAATCACAGTAACAAGAAGACAGCTAATGATGGATTAAATTAGAAAAGTGTCCTGTTCCAGCTTGACTGGGCCATCCTGACCCCCTAGAGAGGGCCCCTTGAGGCCTCCCCACTCCCAGGCTCGGAGCTCCCTCCCTGGGCATTGAGGACAGAAAGGCAGATGTCAGTCAGGTTTGGGAAGGGTGAGGGTCTGCTGGCCCTGCCTTTGCACTGGACAGCAGGTGTGTGTCATTGGGGAGGTGGCCGGACATGGTGGCTGAGGTCCCAGGTCCAGCAGCAGCCACCCTCTCTGGAACATTTCTTAACCGCCCCCCCGCCCCCACAGCAGCCCTGAGCTCCTCTCAGAGCTGAGCTTCCAGCCCCTCCTAGGCTTTCTCCACTGACCTTTTTCCATCCCCTCCTGAGACTCTGGGTCCCCATCTGCAGGTTCCCATACCTCATCGTGATGACCCCTGGCAAATTGGGGTGGCCCCCTCATTTAAACATCCAGGAAGCTGAGTCTGCTGATGCAGCTACAGGGATTCCATGGGGTTCTGAAAGCGGAAAGTCATCCTCAGTGTAGCTCTTTCCTTTGCTGTTTTCTTGAGGCCCCGGGGCTCCCCCGTGAGTGACTGCAGTGCTGAGAAAGCACTCTCCACTGCATCCCCGGGCTTTGTCAGCCTCCTGGGGGCAGGGGCAGCATCACACCCCCCGTACAGCAGAGAGCAGTGGGCACTCACACCCGGGATCTGCCTGCTCCTCCTGCCCCAGGTCATCTCCCTCTTGGTCGGGAACAAGCCCAGCGTCACCAACCCCTTTCCTGCGGTGGAGCCCACCGTGGTGAAGTTCATCTGTGCCCCACCGTCCAGGCTCACCCTTACGCCCATCTACAGCAGCCCCCAGCTGGACCTGTCCTGCCCGCTGCTGCAGCAGAGCAAGCAAATGGTGAGTGTGGGCCGCGCTGGAGCGGGAGGTGACGGCACCGCCCACTGGGCAGGAGGACCTCGGCCATCAGCCAGCTCGACACACGCCTTGGGTGTGGCAGTGGCCATGGCTCTGCACTGTGCCACCTCGATCTCACAAACAGCCCTGCCAGCCTTACCAGGGGAGTCCAGGGCCTGGAGAGGTGGGTGACTCTGAAGTATAGTTGCCACAGACAGTCCCCAACTTACAATGGCACGATGTGACTTTTCCACTTTATAGTAGTGTGAAGGTGATAGGCACTGGTTAGAAGCCACCCTTGGAATTTTGAATTTGGATCTTGTCCTATGCTGGTGACATGGGGTCCAGCTGTCTCTGGGTGCTGGGCAGTGGCAGTGAGCTGCAGCCCCTTGGTCACCAGGGGAACACTTGGCACTCTACTAGGTGCTGTGTTGTGTGCGTTACACACAACTTTCAACCCTTCAGTATGAAACAGGCTTTGGGCTGGGCCTGGTGCCAGGTTCCGAGCACATGTCTGTGGGCCAGGCCAAGCTGTGATGTTCAGCAGGTCAAGAGTATGACTGCCTTTGAGTATAAGATGCGTTCCTCTTACAATGGGTTTGTCATCCTGAGTCCGAGAGCATCCTTCACGGTGGCACTGGGGAACACGGTCCTCTCTGGTTCCAGCCTTGCTGCCTGTTTCTGCCACCCCTTGGGAGCTCGGAAAACCTCTGCTGTCCTCTGTGAGTTGAGAGTGCTCATGGGTTGGGGCTATCTGTGCAGAGTGTGTGATCAGGGTGTGGGTGGGGACTGCCAAGGAAAGATGAGAGCTGCAGCACTGTCCAGGATGGGGCAAGTGGGGGCTGTTTCCATAGTGAGTGTTGGGGAGAAAAGTCACTGGGATCAGGCTGAACAACGGATGGAATGCAAAACCCACTGATGATCCCCTGGGACTTGGGCTCCAGCCAGTCCCCAGTCCCTGCATTCAGAGTGCAGGCTCTAAGACTGGACCAGCTTTTCTTCATTCGGTACATCCTTGTGCCACAGCCCCTGTGCGCCAGGCCGGGCAGCTCTGGCTCCTGGAATACAGAGTGATCTGGACGGCGAGGAACCTGCTGAAGAGCTGACAGGGAGATGGCCGGTCCAGAGATGGGAGGTGCCGAGGACCACCAGGGGAGGGAGATCAGTACAGGCGGTGGCAGGAGGAGGCTGCTGCAGGAGCAGGTGGGCAGGGGGAGCCAGCCTAGCAGGGCAAGGCCCCCCGCAAGAGCAGGGGCCTGAGGGCAGAGCCAGACAGACAGTACCCAGAGCAGCTGCATGTACTGGGAGCCTTCACCTTGCTGCCTCATTTCCCTTTGGCATGACCGTCTTGGAGGCCTAGGCCCCAGGCACCTCCCCTACAGGTTTGCCCCTGGGGCTCAGAGGTGGGTAGAGTGGCAAGGACAGGACACAGATCTGCACACTCCACGTGCAGCACCTCCTGGGTGGCCACTGGGCTCGTGTTTTGCTGCAGCCCCGGGGATAGGGCCCATTCCCCCCTAGCTCTCGGGCTGAACCTGTCCCAGGCCCCCCTGGCCACGGGCAGGGAGCTGTGGGAGTTGGGTCCCCGGTGGGTAAGGACAATGTTGCCTTTCCTGAAGCTGGAGGGAGCACCTGGCTCCGGTGTGCGGGGTTTGGGATGCCTGCTGCCTGACACAGATCAGTGCTCTCCAGCTTTCCTGATCCGAGATGGGAAACTCCCCAGCTTGGTGCCTGAGCCCCTCCACTTGCCCCCAGGCCGCTCCCATCTGGGTCCCTGAACAGTAAGAAGTCTTGGTGTCCTGCTCCAGGAGGGGACAGTATGGGACCTGCATCTCTGTTCCCCTTGATAGAGGAGGAGGGCTCAGGCTTGGCACCCATAGCTGTGGGGAGCTGGCATCTACCCCCGGCTCAGGCCCAGGTGTTTTCGGTGTGCAGTGAATGAACATCGGTAGCCCCAGATCAGAGTGGCCAGGGAGAGGCTTTCCTCTCCTGATATGTGGCTCTAATGAGGGGAAAATCTTGAATAACTTCCATTTTAATTTTTTTACTGCATAATAATAATAATAATTGTGCAGCATAATAATTGTACAGCATCGTGGGCTGCAGTGTGATTAATTCAGTACTTGTCTACAATGTGTAATGATGGAATTCAGAAATGAATATTTTACCTCTCCTTAAACACTTACATTTCTTTGTTTTGGAGCAGTGGACCTGTCTCTTGCAGCTCTTTTTGTTGCCAGTGCTAGTCATCCTACCGTGCTGCGGGACAGAAGTCTCTGACTATATTTCAGCACCTCCTATCCATCCTCTCTCTGTCCCTTACCCCTTTCTAACCTCTAGTGACTTCCAGCCTACTCTCAACTATTTTAGCTTCCACAGGTGAGAGCATGTAGTATTCATCTTCCCATGCCCTGATTATCCAAAGGCTTTGCATTTTAACTCACTTTTCCATAAAGAGCAAATTCTCCCCAGGGGAACGAATAAATCACATTCAGTCTGGACTCTTCGGGAACACCCAGCTTGCTGGGCCCCCCGGCTGAGTCCTGGAGCTGGAGTCTATGGGAACAGCCCCCAGGTGGCCACGTTAGGATCGCTGGCCAAGGTCCAATCCTACTGACTGTGGGACTCCCTTTGAGTAATGGTGATGGTAACAGATGCCCTGGAGTTGTTGCAGGGGATGGGTGTGACCAGGACAGGATGTCACATTATGCTTTTTATCTTGTTCTCTGCTCAAGCCTGCCAGCAGCTCCCTATTCTCCCCATGAATGGCTGAAGCCCTGTCTGTGGCCTGCAGACTCTGTGTCCCAGCCCCTGGCCCTCTGCCTTCTACTGAGCTCTGTCGGTTCCTGGAATGTGCCATGCAGGTCTTGCTGGGTCTGAGGCTGGCTGCTCCCTGGGACTTTCATGGCACCCGGTTCTCTGGCCCTATGCTGCCTTCTGCCTTCTTGGTGGAGCCCTCTGCCACCTTTGCTTTACCTGCAGGTTCACCCCTCAGCCTTCCCTATTCTGGCTTCCTCTTCCCTACCCTAAGCATTCCCTGTGACCTAAGCTGCAGGACATGCTTACTGGGCTTCACACTGTGTCCGTCTCTCTTATCAGCTCCCCTGCCTCAGCAGGGTCTGGTGCCTGGAGAAGCCAGGGGGCCACTGCTGCAGGAAGGTGCCAGCCGTGCATGGTGCTGGCTGGGAGAGCAGGTGCCCCTCAGAACAGGAAGCTGATGCTGCTCAGTGATGGGAGGGAAAAAACCTCATGAGAGCTGTGTTTTCTCTGTCCTTAAACATCAGCTACAAACCAAGTGGGCCACATCCTGGCTGGGTTTTGCCTGCCCTCTCTGCCAGCCAGACCCCTTCTCTTGTCACTTCTCTGAGCCTTGAAGGTGATGGTCTAGCTGCAGAGCTCTCAGTGGGCTCGGTGTATCTTTGGTGTCAGCAGGAAATAATGGCTCTCAGACATGGAGTTGCCGTGTGACCCATTAGTCCTCGGGCTCCCCAGCCGTGCACCAGCCGTTCAGACATGGCCTCTCTGATTTACAGTCTCATTAGGGGACCTTGGGGAAGATATATCCCTGCCGTGCGTTGCAGGTACAGGATCAATTTAATTTTACAGCTGTCCAAATCTAGAGGCCACTCAAGACGTGTTCGCAGAGTAAATTATTGGCAGGGTGAGACTCCAGGATGGAGTTGACTGGTAGGGATGACAAAGTGGCACCAGACTCCGACCTCATCTGCTTCTCCAGGCAGGTCGCCCAGCGTTTGATGCATTGTAGATGGGTACTTGTTATTGGCCAGGGGACAGAGCAGCCGGTGCCCACCTCAGGCATCAAAGAAAAGCTGCAGTGTCAAGTGAGGACTTTGGGTTTTACAGTCAGACTGCTGAGTCCTGCCTCAAGACCTGAGTAACCTTGAACAAGTTGCTGACTGCCCCTGAGCCTCAGCTTGCCCGGTTATAAAATGAGGATAATGATCTTACCTCCCATCGCTGTTCCTGGAGGCTCCTGCCAGCTCGAGAATGTGCTTGGCACAGTGTTGATGTCCTTCCCTGGAGGAGATTGAGTTCCTGCTCTGGTTTGCATCTGGAAGAAGGGATCAAGTGTCTGCGACAGGTCCCACAGCCCCTGTCCACACTCATGCTCCCCAGTTCGTGTCCTGTGGTGTCACAAAACCCTTTGCATGTGCAGAGATGGTGCTGGCCTGCTGTTAGGAAGGCTGCCTTTGGGATTCACAGCATGCTGGGCTCAGGTTCTCTAGGGACAAGGGAACTTCTAGGGTTGGGGGGAGGCACCCTTAAAGTGGGGAGCTGGGTGGCTGTGTCCATGAGGACAGGCCATGCTGCAGTGTGTCCTCCCCCTAGCCACGTGGCTGCGGACAACATGAGCTCATCTCTCACCCACAAAAATATGTGCATCTCAGGTTGGCTCTGAGACCCAGCTTTGTGTCGCTGTTATGTGTGTTCTAAACTGAGGCTGTAGAGTGGCCACCAGGAGCCATTGAGGAGAGACGCAGCATAGCAGATGATGTCCTGGCATTAATGCTTCCCCCGGCATTGTCACTCATATGTTACTCATATTCATGATGTCATTCATCATATTTTACTGGCTAGAATCACTCACTTGGTCACTGCAAGGGTCAGAGAGGACAGTTGGCCCCAGTAGACTTGTTCCTCAACAGAGAATTGGGGCACTTTGTGAAGGATACTCATGGCAACCCGTTCCCCTACTTGAGTGGTAATTTTGATGCCACATCTCTCTGAAAGGACCTCCTAGGACTTGTATTTAAAGCAGTCCCAGGAGGTGGCTTCTGAGTGATTCCCCTGTCTCCGTGGGATGTCTGTACCTTCCAGGAAAGAGGTGCAGCTGGGGTCATTGCATCCTCTACAACATGGGGATCACACTCCTGGCTCCCCAGGGCACTCAAGGATCAGGTGGCACTTGGCTGTGAAGGCTTCTTTGCCAACCTGGCATCTTAGGTGTTGGCATGGGCATTTGGCATTTGTATGCAATCACGGGGGCCACGTCCTGGCACCACTGAGGTGTGCCTGGGCATGGAGGGTGGCAAGGGTTGGGAATGGTGGAGATGGAAGGGAGAGAGCAGCCTGGCTGGGCTGGGGGTTACAGCCTTGGTGCCGGTCCTCTTGTGCGAGGCCGTCCTGTGCATTGTAGGGTGTTTAGCAGCATTGCTGACCTCTTGTACTAAATGCCAGTTGCACTGTCCACCCCCCAGATATGAGGCAAAATTGCCTCCAAACTTTGCCAGAGGCCCTCATGCTACTCAGGACAATGGCCTGGAACCAGAGGCTGGGTTGGACAGGTTTGGTGTCCTTGTTGCACCTTGGTAGCCGGAAGTAGAGATGGGTTTGCGACCTACACCCTCTCCCTCACCAGGACCCACTGAGCCATGGATGTACCTCATCCTGACTGTGCTCACAGCCTCTGGCCTTCCCCTTTTGTAGGTTCCGGTCTCCAGCCACCGAAATCCCCTGCTGGACCTGGCTGCCTATGACCATCAGGGGCACCAGTTCGACAACTTCAGCTCTCTGAGTATTCAGTGGGAGTCTGTCCGACCGCTTCTGGCCAGCATCGAGCAGGACCTGCCACTGCAGCTGGTGTTACAGGACGATGGGAGCGGTCAGAAGAAGTTACACGGTGAGCCGGGGTCATGAGCCTGAGGGCCTGAGGCGGGAGGATGGGAGACCAATAAAGCTCCAGACGGACACATGTCCCAAGGCAGGCACTTCCTGTTAGAGCCCCAGCTCGCCAGTCCTGCCCTGCATTCAGAACTACAACTCAGGGCAGTGTGAGCTTGCTGCCCTCGTTTCATCTTGCATTATGTGAGGCAGGCTCTCGGGCTCCAGAACCCAGAGCAAGGAGTCTCCTCCGCTGCGTTACGGAGCAGATCCAACCCGGCTCCTAGATCTGTGCCCTGGCACCGTGCCATGGCCCTTACACATCTCTCACAGCCAAGACCTGCTGTCTCCCCCGCTCAGCCCCGCAACTCCTTGGCATTGCTCACCCTGGTAACTTTATGGTGTAATTATATGGTCATCATTTTTCAGAAAAAGCTTCAGATTGGGCTGGGGATTTACCTCAGTGGTTCTGCTGCCTGCCTCACAAGTGCAAGGTCCCAAGTTTGATCCCCGGTACCCCCTCCCCCCCCCAAAAAAAATCCCCTTCAGATCAATGCTGGGTGCGGGGTGTGGCTTCAGAGGCAGCCCTGAGGCCAATGTCGGTTCCCCTCCCTGGACTCAGGTTTGCAGGCCATTTCGGTACACAAGGCATCAGGAGAAACGACCATCTCCGCCACGGCAACTGGCTACCAGCAGCCCCACCTCATCGCGGCCAGAGCAAAGCAACCGGTACCTCCCCAGGGCCACCAGCAGGGAGGGCCTTGGGCAAGGCCAGAACGCCCCCTGCTTCTGCCGGAATCTTATCTGGTGTCTGAGGCCCCTCGCACTTTGCTGGGCCTTAGCCCCTCTCCCTAACCCTGCAGCTTGCTCTAGGTCGGACCCACTTGAGTGGCTATCTCCCGCACCGTACCCATGCTCCTTTCAGGCTCCTGGAGGGATCCAGGGAAAAGTCCAGCTGGCCCTGTCACCTCGGCTCAGTGCACAACTGGGTGGCCTCAGGGCTCGCAGTAGCTCTTCTGGCTCCAGGTCTTGGAGCCCCTGCACCCTGCGGCCTGCTCACATACACAGCATCCGGCCTGTCTGTACTCAGCATCTCCACCCACTGGCTGCCCCTCCCACCCGGGCATCTTTTAGGAGCCCCAGACAGAGGTGCAGCTAGTGGGGGGCATGTGGGTGTGTTTAGGGTTGGAGTGGGAAAGATTCTCCAAGGACACTCTGCTGTCCAGGAGACCACTAATAAGCTTTATTGAAATAAAGTGAAGGTGGCAGATGCTGGCTGCAAAGTGAAGGTGTGGCTGGGTTCTAGGAATCCTAGGTGCCAGGATGCATGGAGCCCCTGTGCCTCCTGGTGGAAGATCCCAGAGGGTGAGCTGTGGTCGGCAGCACTGGAAGGAGGTGCCTGTCCTTGATGGCTCAGTTCCTTCCTGTCCTCACCAGTGCCCAGAAGCCATTGCCTTGCAAGTGGCCTCCTGAGCCTTCTGGAAGAGCCTGACACTGATGCTCTTGGACCTTGGGGTCACTAATCCCTTCGGGCATCTGGCTCTTGGCACCACTCAGGGCCTCCTAACCTTGAGCTCTCTGCTCACCTGAGAGCCTCTGTCCTGCTCAGACCCCACATAGCCTGCAGGACCCATGCTGCACTCACTCTGGCCAATACCTTTCTGCCCTGGCCTCGCCCTGTCTTTATTCTTTCTTTTTTCTCTTGTCAGAATAGAATCTCACCACAGGTAGTCTCTGTGCCCTTTGTGGCCCACACAGTCCCTGGCAGGGAACATTGCTTCCTGACAGGCACACACACTGTTAGGTGATGTCACTGTATGTGACACTGTACCATGTAACCACACTGTGGCCACTTCAGCATCTCTAGGTGATACAGTTCGTATGGGACCACATTGCATGTGTGATCTATCACTGACCCAGACGTCACTGTGTGGCTGTGTCTTGTCCAGAGCTCTCCCTCCAGTGACATGGGGCAGAAAGCAGATGCGTACAGCTCTGAGGGAGTGAGGGTTGTCCTGTCCCTGTGAGCCACCAGAAATACTCTTCCCTGGGGCCTGACCCGCACCTCGGGTATGTCAGCAGCTTTGCTGTATGCCTAGACTCCTGCCCTCCATGTGTGCGGCAGCTGGTGTTTGCCCTGAGGCCCTGAAAGTTGGGGTGTGTGTGTGAGTTGCCCAGAAGGATGCAGGGGGACTGACACCTAAGCAGCACTGTTGATAACCACCTCCCCTGTCCCCAGAGGAGGAGGTGGCGACTCATTTCACCTGGATGAGGCTAAAGGGAGGCCTCTGAGGGGATATGGCTATTCCCTGGGCTCAGGAAAACTGTGGTTTTATTGTGGTTGGTGTCTGGGACACAGCAGGTGGCCTGCAGTGAGGGGGTGGCCTGGTGTGGCCATGGCTTTGTGGACCTGATAGCCTTGACCTTGCCCCTGCAGCATGACCCTTTCCTGCCTGTGTCGGCCTCCATCGAGCTCATTCTGGTGGAGGATGTGTGGGTGAGCCCCGGCGAGGTGACCATCTACAACCATCCTGGTGTCCAGGTACGGCCCTGTGCCCTCCCCACCCTGCCTGGGTGAGGCCCACCATAGGGGACCCTGGTGACCCACATGACCCTCCTGTGCCTGCTTCTCCTCCAGGCTGAGCTCCATGTCAGAGAAGGCTCTGGCTACTTCTTCCTCAACACCAGCACCACAGACGTTGTGAGCGTGGCCTACCAGGAGGCCAGGGGCGTCACCACAGTGAGTGTGGGCCACTGAGCCCCAGGGCGGCTTTGATTGCTCCTCCAGACTATGAGGTGGGGTTAGTAGATGATTTAAAAGCTGGTGCTAAATCCCATGAACTGTGTAATTGGCAAGGTCTTCAGATTGTCTGGTTTGTTCTGAAAGTCTTGTCATTCCCATGTCACCTTTGTGGTTTCTGTTCCGTATCCACCAGTTAGCCGCACAGTTAGTTCCCTAACAGTCTCCTTTCCATCAAGATTAAAATAATATTATATAAGCAGCACTAAACCATAAAGGAATTTCTGTTTCAAAGATGTATCTGCTTTTTCTATTTCTCCAGGTTTCTTACTTGACCCTGGCTAATAGGGACTTGGCAGTACCCAGGGTGTGGAAAAATTTAGCATTCTGGTTATTATTATTATTTTTTTTAGTCTTGGTGCCCTAAATGGTTCTTCCCCATATTGCTGTGTAGGCTGTGGATTATTATCAGTCATTTTTACTTAGCCATTCTCTTCCTGTAGAGTATTTGAGTTGTTTTATCACTTCTCGGCCTTTTGGCTAAGATCAAGTGTATTTGAGTTGTTTAAAGCTTTAGGTTCTTTAAAAAAATGTAGCCAAGTACAGAATAAAAAGTGAAAACAAACAAAAAATAGAATCTCAGATGTTCACATCTCTGCTTAGATGGGTTATTACTCGGTTGTGAAAACTGAGCCTTGTTTAAAAGGAAACTCTTACTACTGAACATGTAAAAATGAGCCTAGGAAGTCATAAACATAAGGCAGGCCGAAAAAAGACAACAGCAGTGACATCCATAATAATAATAATCCACAGCAGAATCCTCCAATTGTAGCTCGTCTATGGCCTTTGAGCTGCTCCAAGCCCAAGAGCTGCTTTCCCTTGGCTGAGAGGGGCAGTTGTCCCAGTCCAAGGAGTGTCCCATGGTGCTGTCACCAGGCGGGCCTTTCCCTGCTTCATAAGAGGTTGCTGCTGCTTGGTGCATGGTGGGACTTCAGCTGGTGCAGTTCGTGGAGACGGGGCGGCTCCTCCCTGACCAGACTGTCCTGCAGACTCTGTGTCCTCCTTCGCGCTGGGCCTTGCCTCCCCAACACACACGAGAGCCCTTGTCAGCTAACAGCAGCATGCAGCAGGCTGTCACGCCGGGCCAGGGAAGGCATCCTGGGAACCCACCTCTGCAGTGAGCTGGTCCTAGAACCCACTTAGACACAGCCAGGCACCTCTCCACGGTCACGCACAGAGTTCACGGCATCGCCTACTTTCTGTGGTTTTGGCCTCAACTCCCTGCATTTCCTGTTCTCTGGCTTTTTATTCCTACTGAGTGGCTTAAAATAGGGGCATCACAAAATGCGTCGCCTCTGGGTTGGGCCAGGTGTGAAGTAAGAAAGAGGGGTGAGGATTAGACTTGGAGGTGCAAGTGGATCCAAGCCTCACCTTTGGTGCCGGTGATGGCACGGTGGGGACCGTGGCAGACCTCGGCGCACGGCCACGTGTAAGGGGCAATTGCCCTGTTCCTCTGGCTGATTTCCGTTGTTTTTGATCATGTCTCCGCTGAGGTGTGAGTCACGTGTCACACGCTTCACCAACTTCAAGTGTGTAATTCATGGGTTTTAGAATATTCAGACATGTGCAACTAACACCACATTCAGTTTTAGAGAATTTCCATCACCTCGAAAAGAAACCTGTATGTTTTAGCACTCACCATCTTATTCTTACACACACACACACACACACACACACACACACACACACCCCCCACCCTGTCCCAGATTTAAGCAACCCCTAATCTACCTTCTGACTCCATAGATTTCCCTCCTCTGAATATTTTATATAAAGGGAATCAGATAATACTTGGTCTTTTACAAGGTTCACCCATGTTCTGCTCCTTTTTGTAGCCAAATCACATTGCATTGCGTGGATGTGCCACATTCTGTGTATTTGTTCATCCATTTGTGGCTATTTTGACGATTGTGAGTAATGAAAATTTGTGTATGCATTTGCCCGTGAACATATGCTCTGAATTCTCCTGGGTGTATGCCCAGGAGTGGAATTGCTGAGTCATATGGTAACTCTACATTTATTTAACTTTTGGAGCAAATACCAGACCGTTTTCCCAAGGGACCACACCATTCCAGAGTCCAGCAGTATAGGGTTCTGATTTCTCCACATCCTTGTCAACACTTGTAATTATCAGACAGTTAAATTCCAGTGTAAGTGATTTCTCCTCATGGTATTGATTTACATTTCTCTATTTGCTAATGATATTGAGCGTCCTTTTGTGTACTTATTGCTATTTACACATCTTCTTAGGACAAATGTCTATTTGGATCCTTTGCCCATTCTTTGTCTTTTTATTGAGTTGTACAACTTTATATTCTAGGTAGATTCTATCCTTTATCACATGTGATTTGTATATATTTTTCCCATTCTTCAGTTATCTTTTTACTTTCTTGGTAACATCATTTCAAGCTCGTAAGCCTTTAATTTTTGAAGTACAATCAATGTTTTTTTCTGTTGTTACTCCTGTGTTTGATATCATGTCTAAGAATCCATTGCAAATCTGAGATCATGCAGACTGTTTTCTTCAAAGAGTTTAAACATTCTGGCGCTTAAATTTCAGTCTTTGGTACATTGATTTGACTTTTGTTTGCGGTGTAAAGTAAGAGCCCAGTGTTACCCTATTATGTGTGGCTGTCCAGTCACCCAGCACCATCTGCTGAAGAGACCACTCTTTCCATGCTGGGTTATCTTGGTTGGCACCTTTGGCAAAGAGCATTGGCTGGAGATGCATAGTTCGGAGCCTCTCAGCTCTATTCCGTGGATCCACGTGTCTGTCCTTGGGTCAGAACCACACGGTCGCAAGCCCTGTTGCTTTGTAGTGAGTCTGGAAATTGGGAAGTGTAAGTCCTTTAACTTCCTTCTTTGCAAGGTTGTTTTGACTATTCTGGGTCCCTTGGAGTCTGTATGAATTCTTGAGTTAACTTATCAGTTTCTGCCAATAAGCCAGCTAGAATTCAGATAGGCCCTGCATTGGCATCTTAATAATATTGTGTTCCATTTACGAAGCTAACCCGTTGTCCAATTATTCAATCTTCTTTGACATCTTTCTGCAGTGTCCTATAGTTTTTACAGCATGAGTTTTGCACTGCTTTTGTTAAATTTATTTCTAAGAGTATTTTATTCTTTTCTATGCTAGTTTGAGTATTTTCTTAATTTTCCTAATGTTCATTATGAGCATCTAGATATACAATTTATTTATACAATTTATTTTTGTATATTAATCTTGTGTCCTGCAACCTTGCTGAACTCTCATTTATTAGTTTTTTAATGGGTTCCTTAGAATTTTCTTTATACAGGATCCTGTTATCTGTGAATGTAGATAATTTTGCTTTGTCCTTTCCTATTTGGATATGTATTTCTTCTTTTCTTTCCTGATTGTCCTGGCTACAGTCTCTAGCACAGTGTTGTTCCTGATCTCAGGGAGAAGGCATGCAGCCTTTCACCACTAAGCGTGCTGTGGGCTTTTCATAGCTGCCCCTTAGCAAATTAAAGAAGTCCCATCTATTGCTGTTTTTCTTTAAGTTTTTTTTAATCTTGGAAAGGTCTTGGATTTTTTTTTTTTGGTACCGGGGATCGAACTCGGGACCTTGTACTTGCAAGGCAGGCACCAGAACCACTGAGCTAAATCCCTGGCCCTAGGATTTTGTCAGATGCCTTGTATGTGTCTCTTGAAATGATCATACAGATTTTAAATTTTGTTGATAATGTTTTATGTTGATTGATACTCAGATACTAAACCAACATTATATTCCCAGGGTAAATCCTACTTGGTCATGACGTACAATTCTTTTTTTATATGTAGTTGAATTCAGTTTACTAGTATTTTATTTAGGATTTTTACATTTATATTTATAAAAGATATTAGTCTGTCATGTTCTTGTGGTTTCTTTGTCTGGTTTGGGTGTCAGAATAATATTGACCTAGAATGAGTTGGAAATGTTCCTTCTTCTGTTTTGGGAAGAGCTATGTAAAGTGATAACAGTTATTCTTAAATGTTTGGTACAGTTAACCAGTGAAGTTATATGGACAAGAGATTTTGCTTATGGGGAGTTTTTATATTAAATAAATTTCTTTATTTTTCTAGGTCTATTCAGATTGTCTCCTTTTAGTAAGTTTTGGTAGCTTGTGTCTTTCTAGGAGTTTGTTGATTTCATCTAAATTATTTAATGTATTGATTGGAGTAAGTTATTCTCAGTATTCCTTTGTCATTATTATTTCTGTCAGTTTTTCAGTAGTTTCCTCCGTCTCCTTACTTATTCCAGTAATGTGAACCATCTCTCCATGTTACTGGTCAGTCTAACTAAAGAATTGTTTTTTGTTAATTTTTTTCAAAGAAGTAACTTTTGGTGTCATGGAATTTTCTCCACTGTTTTTCTGTTTTCTGTTAACTTTGGCTCTAGTCATCATTTCATTTCTTCCATTTATGTTTACTTTGCTGTTCTGATTCCAGTTTCAAAAGGTGGAAAGTTAGGTTGGTGACTTGTGATCTTTCTTTTTATTTTTTAACAAATGCGTTTGTTTACCACCATGTATTTCCCTCTATGCATGGCTTTAGCTGCTTCCCATAAATATTGTTCTCTGTGTCTGCATCTAAAATTACTCTAAATTCATTTTTGTTTCTTCTTTCATCAATTAGTTATTTAGGAATATTTGATTTCCACGTATCTGTTAATTTTGCAAAATTTTTGTCACTGATTTCTAATTTCAGTCTATGTGGCTTGAGAATACACTTTGTATTGTCTATCATTTTAAATTCTTATACGTTTGTTGTATGGCCTAACACATGGTCTGTCCTTCTGGCCCATGGGTTGGACATGACTTTTGTAGCAAAAAAACTTTTTTTTTTTAAATTAAATTCTTTTATTGGTACATTGTAGGTATACAACACAATTACACTTCTCATTGGGAATTGTACCTTTACATGATGCATCTTGG